GGGGGGGGGGGGGTGATGACGTGTCCCTTTGTAATTTTGCAAAAAAAAAAAAATATAAAATTCAAGAAGTACACATAAGAATTTAACGTTTTGGTTAATTTCTATTTTTCTTTTTTTTTTCTTCATTTTTTCTTCAATAAAACAATTGGTTACGTCAATCTTGGAATTAATCCCAAACGATAGTCTAAACTATTTTATCACGTGTCACGGTCTATGTGAAACTGACCGAGAGTATTCTTTTCTCGCGAAAAACTTTACCTACCTTTATTTTCACTGTCAATATAGCTATGGCTATTTTCGAAATTTCGAGCGAGCTTTAATTTGAATTTTCGTTTTTGCATTAACGTAAGAATTCGATTTTTCTTTTCACCATCGAAACATATGTACACTCCAGCCACGTGTATCGATCTGCTTCCATAGAAGAAAAATTATTCACGGTTCGTAGATGAATTCGATGAAAAATTCCGTTACGGAAGAATTGAAAAAGAAAAAAAAATGTGAAAACGAACAATGACTTTCAGCAAAGACTCGATCGTCATGCACCAGTCACGGGAAACGGTATTGCGCCAATCTCAAAGAACCTCCGAACGTAACACGGTAACCTTCACCGGGACGAATTTTGTCTGTCGCGGGATCTCGTCGAAAAATATATAATTTTTACGAAATCTATCGGCTGGTAAACAAACTCATCGACGAATTAGAAGAAAAAAAAAGTAACGCGTCAAATCATTAGGGCGTACGCGTATGTCGCGAAAACGAGCCTTCCCCTCTCCTCGTGCGTCCTTTCGATCTTTAGTATAAAACCGTATACGAAATATCTCCCGTTCCACGCCATTGCATCTGGCGTGAGCCGTCAAAACAACTTCTTGCCCCAGGTCAGTTTTCACAGGCGGAAAAGCCACGAAGAACCAGACTTCACAGAAATCATTGGACCCGGGAGTCAATCAGCGAACAAATCGTTATCGCGAAGCGATACGCTATCCGACAACAACGTGCTTTACCGAGAATGCCAAGACGACGTGGGAACTTTGATTAGTGAAATATTTCAAACGTCAATTGACGTCATATCGAAAATACGGTTTCCTCGGCCATCCCGTCGTCCTGCATGAAATTCGCCTGTTCCTCTCGTCGAGTCGCACGATGCTTTTTAAGGCAGCACGCAACTACATTGACTGCAGGTCGTTGGCCGAGTCGTTCGATCAACCAGCGTTGCGCCTCCTGCTCTCCGTACTTCCTGTTCAGTCTGAGAGGGGAACCGAGCCAGGGTCGTGTAACTTGGGCCACGCGGGTCGTCGCAAGGTCGTCCAATTGGATAAATAAATATATGTATAATATAGCAGAGTCCCCTTCGAGGCATCGATCATGATTTGCTTTTTTTTTCTTAACCTCTAACGATCTGTTGCTTGGCCACCTCTTACGTCGGGGACTTTGAGCCCGTTGGGATCGATGAATTCTACATGGAATATTTCATTTGGATCCCCGTTCAGTTTCCTTATTTTTTTGCTCCGTCGCCTTAACTGTCGTCCGTAGGTAAGGGAGTGCTGGAGGGGCCATCTTTCTACGGCTTTTAAGGCTAACGAGTCACCTGGACTGGATATTGGGGATTTTGTGTTTCTTGCAAATGACGTCAGGTGGCACCACGTGTCGCGGACTCTGGATTTATAATTGTCTGGGATTCTGGGTATCGGTTTAAGGAATTGTTTGTCAATTTGGGGCTTTTTTCTCTGTTGCTTATACCGTGTGTCGTTTTACTCTCAGATACAGGTTATGTTATGAGTAATGGTAATGATTGGTAGTGTTTTGTCGGTAGATATTTTATATGTCTCGTTGGTATTTTCATTTCTTGTATCGGATAAACCGTGTTGAGTTTTTCGTAATTATATTTTCACTCACGATGCAGTATTACAATTTTTTATCCGATTATTTTTAAGTCAAAGTAGTCCCGTGGCTATATATGTTACGTGAATTTATTTGTCAGACGCTATTTCACTTCCTACCTTTTTTTTTTGATTTCGCATATACATACAATCGTGCTTAGCCATTTCATCATGGAAATTTGAACAATGAAGGTCGCTACGAGATAAGTCATGAAAAGGGAGAATTTATAAGAAGGAAATATTTAACGAGTGAATAAAAGAAGAGAATGTAAAAAAACATATTTTTCTGATATATTCTACCAGCGAAGGTACTTAGGTGAAATTTAATTTTAATTATTTAAATGACCATTAAACCATAAAAATTCTTATTATCCAACGCATACAGCGTCGATTCACTGTTTTAATTATTCCCTGCAAAAGTCGCGGGCTCGAATCAAAACAACGGGTAAGTTACTTGATAGAATAAAAAAGCAGCTAATAAATATAATCAAGTTCACCGACACTGCCGTAGAGTCTGCTTCACCGAAACGCGTAAACTTGTAAATCCACTCGTGAATAGCCCCGATATAAAAGCGTCATTTGAATTGTATTGTGTATATACAGTCAGGTTGCGTCATCCTCCTTCGAACATTGGTTCCGGCTAAATATAGATATATCTCTACATGCATAGTAACGGTGGTCACACCGTCGAGAAGTCTCGCTACTTCCGTCAATGCCAACCTGACGTTCTCTCTTTATTTTTCTTAAAAAATATTCGCCCGTCGCTAACTCATTCTAGGATTTGGTCCAAGTGACGTCCCGAGAGGAAGAATCCTTTCTCGCGTGTCAATGATATTTTTAAAGATGACGCGCCAGTCATTCAGACCTGCTGCCACCTACCTACCTCCGCTTTTACTACGACGGTAGAACGTGACTTATGAAAATAGTGGATTAACGCTTTTCTAAGGCACGAAGAAGGTGGACGTTGGATACCCACACATCCGGTGCCTACGACACCTGGCAGCCATTCGCCTGACCTTATCGTACCAGGACGTGGGTGAGCGATATTATCGTCCTCGCATTTGGCGCAACCTAACCCAACCTTCTTTCAGTCCGATAAAGTTGAACGTTAAAAGGAAAAAAAAGTTACTCATTCAAAATTTGCCGCCAAAATTTCAAAATTCCATTTTTATACCTTTCTCACGACGCTCACTGACACGTCCGTAAACTCGTGTAGGTCGTACACTTTCGCTCGGTATTATTCCTCGACGGACATTTTTATATTACGCAATCATATCCCCTCTAATATACGTTTTCGTATTTCTAACCTCGAAATTATCGCCAACGCGTTTCACAATGCTCGCAAGCAGATTTGTGGGAATTTTTTTTTAGATATTTAATTTTTTTTATCTCCGACTATTATATCTACCATTATTTGCACGTAAAACTTTGACATTTACGGGATCGTTACACTAATTCGTACCGACTGCCGATAAGTCCTTGTGCCATCGGAAGTTTGAATATTGAGATTAGAGCGATGCACTTCGCTCAGTTCCAGCCAATAATAATCCTCCTAGCCAAAGTACACGGGTACCAGGGTTCCCGGTGGCGGAGACAAAGGCCGACAAGGTTACAAAAATAAACGAACTAAATATAGTGAAGGGTCGCACGCGAGTGGCGCAATAATCTTAAGTAAATGCGGTCAGGTCATTGTCCAGGACGGGGACGAAAAAAAACATTGTAAACCGGGCGCAAAGATAAGACGGACGAGGACAGCAGCCTGTGACTGAACGTTAGTGCCTGAGTCATTCTTATCATGCGAATTGTGTGTCTTTGGGTAATTAATTAGTGAGGGTATTAATTAAGATGGCGGCGATGGGGGAGGGGGCGCACGCTATGTCTTCGCACAAGTCACACGACCTCCTCGTAGCTACGAGAATCGGGGCTTTAAGGCGAACACGCAATCGGCCACTCTCTCTATATACACATATAGATATACTACTGTGAGGCCAATAAAAATTTATACGAGCGATGATGATTTTATGGTGATAAGAGATAAGAGCTTTTTCAAATCTATTAATCACGTGACAGCCACGTGGACTTAATTTGGTATTTAGCCGAGGATTTTCGAAATGATTTTTTTCCCAGTGATTTAATCTGTTTGGTGGAACTTTTTTTTTTGTTTTTGCTTTTTTTTTTATTTATCATCGACTCGGTTAAATATCTTTGACGTTCGCGGATGATTTTTTAATGGTTATCAATGATGTCGGATGACTTTTCTTTTTTTATGCAACAGCCCTTCGAGGCAGATCTGGAATGTTGGTCTCGTTTGGTAGAATGTTAATGTAACAGTTAACGTGGTACTAATTGACTGCTGACTAATTATCTTGATACGCCTTTGTCTTGGCTCGGTTAACGCGACCTCGATTACGTGACTCGTTAATGCAAATACGTTATGGCAAACTTTATTAGCACAATTGCGTAACGGAATCATCTGTAGAGAATTTTGGACTTCATTTTTTTTTTTTGAAATATCACGTGTTACTGCAATTGCACATGCATTTTGCATATTCACGAACGAGAGAGGTTGGAATGTATGGGAAGAAATTTTGTTTTCTTCACTGATAAGGTTTATCGTGGAGACTGAGCATCTGTTGACATTGCGTACCAGTCTTATTTTTGAAATTCTTTTTTTTTTTTATCTTTTACGATTAAATCGGCATCGGACGCTTTCTCGAATGATGCAACGGGGCTTAGTTGAAATTTTTTTTTTTTATTATCATTTACAGTCATTGCTACTGTTTAACAAACATTGATACGAACTTTGATGGAAATTTTTTGTCCGATCAGTATCCGAGCTGTAGTCTTTTTTTTTTGGTTTAATCTCATGGAAATTTTATTCTGTCCCACGCGACTGATCCGCAGCCTCCGGGAGTCTCGAAAGTATCTATTTTCATCACGTCTCGCACACATGTCGACGGACACGCATCTCTTAATGTTAAACCGTAAAGATAGCTCGTGCGAAACGATCGGAGCTTTCAATAAAAAATTGAATGGATTCAAGTCATTTTAGCGTTAATAGATATATTTTGGAAAAAAAAAGTGTTTATGGAGGAAAGATATATTTTTTATTTATTTAACAGTTATGCTTGCGCGCGATGGTAATTTTGTAATTTTCAGTCAAATTTTAAAAAAGCCAATAACGTTTTAGAGCAAGATGCCTTTTTTTGGGAATTTTTTTGGAAAATTTATTTGTCGCATTAATTATTCTTGTTGAATTTCTATTATTCATTGCTATCCGACTCCCCGTTTCTGGGTAATGGCGATCGTCTTTATTGCTCCTAGGGGGGATGGTGCATTGTAAATTCGTCTGAATAATTTGTGCATTTTTTGTCTTTTGGAATTCAGACAGTAAAGGAAGATTCGGTCTCTCGTCTGTTTCAGGGCTGCAGAATCATTTATGAATGGATGGAGGCGCGACGGAGAGTGCGGCAGGAGGATCGACTGCTGATCTGGGAGGTTTGGAAGGATGGTGGAACACTTCGGGCATTGCCATCTGGAGTCTTGTACTCTTTGGCTCCTTCCTCCTCAACGCTGTCCTCCTTCTTGTCTTTCTCAAACGGCCCGGACTCCGCACCATTTCAAACAGGTTCAAAGTTCACGCTAGTATTACCCTAGCCCAATTACCGTCGCTTGTTAATTTTCCATCTGTTTACTTCTCCGTCTGTACTTTTTCTTTCTCGGCTTGAGCATTCTGTCTGTCGATTTTCTGCGCAGAAGGGAAAGGCGTGTGCAAGCTGTTTTTGAAATATTTTCGAAATTCCCGCGAAAATTTCAAACTAACGTACGAAACTTATATGACATCATTTGAAATTCCCGCCCTCAGTTACATCCATCGGGTCACGAAAGATCTCGTGTCACTTAATTTATTTTTTCCTAACTAATCGTCATTTACGCAACTTCACGCCGGTCGACGAAATTTATTTTATGTTTCGGCTGTTTATGTTAAATTCTGCACCGACTGTACGTTCGGGAGTTGAGGCGATTTACTGGTTTTTTGAAAGGCACCTCGCAAATTCCCCAGGAAATTGCAAGACGTTATTTAGCCTGCTTATACGATAGCCATCAAAATTGTTTGTGCAACATTTTCGAAATATTTTACGTCACGCCCGGAATTGCTGAGCTACGAATTCTAAGTACGAGCAGCCATTATGTTTCCGCAAGTGCTCGGGAATGGCCTTCCGCTGTGCTGCTATACTGCTAGAACGGAAGTGAAATGAATTTTGAATTTTTTCCTTGTGGACAATTTTCAGTGCTCTTTCCTTTTTGACCTCAACAATTCTGACCTAACGTTACTCGTGCTTTTGAATGTATTTATATATTCTTTGAATTTCTTCAACAAACAATACACTTGCACTGTCTAACTGTAGATACAAACACGTGGGCGAGTCGTTTACTCAACGTCACGTCAGACGCATAATAATACTTGAAACCACATGATTCGAAAAGGCTAGTAAAAAGAATGTGAAAAATATTATGGGATTGTCAAATATCGTGTAAATATACATTGAACTGACATTGATTAAAATAAACTTGGGAAAAAAGATAATATCACTGGATGATCCGTTAATGGGTTCGAAATCTTATTTTCTTTCTATTTGGATAATTTTGTATTTTAATAGGGCGACGATGCTAGTCGTTCCTTCGCGTTCAATGTTTATAGTACATAAATTATACTTTTGGACACTTAAACCAGAACCAACGGACACAACTGCACACGTGTCCATTTTTGCTCTAAGCACTTCCGAACTGACACTCGGCCAAAAATATCGCAGATTTCACCACGTGCGAATGGGATTTACTTCTCTTCGCCGACCTCGACGTCGGTTGACGCTTTTATACATTCGGTGTGGTGGGTTCCTTTCGTCGGTGTGGAGCCCACTTTCATATTCCTTCTCTCATTATTCCTGTTATTACTCTTGCCGAGCATTGCCGTCGCTATACTGCCAGAGTCATGATCCTTTGTATGTCCATAGCCGTACGTCTTTGTTGAGAACTATAATTATTTTAAAAAAAAAACCAAGTTTCAATTTTCTCAAATTATTTTCAAATTCGAATAATTTTTGTACCTTGTTTCAGATTCGTGATAAATCTGACCGCATCGAATCTGCTAACCTGTTTACTCCTGACGCCATTACTAATAATGGATGCACCATCCACCTCGTCCTCGAAGAGTCTCTGCACGGTCTCGGAAGGCGCCACGGCTCTAGTGACTTCCTCCTCAGTCCTGTCGGTTTTCCTAATCGCCCTGGACCAGTACTTCGCCGTAGTAGATCCCCTCCGATACCGCACTCGTATCGATAAGTTCAAGTGCGGTATGCTCATCCTCTTCGTCTGGATCCTGGCCATCCTCTTCGGACTCCTGGCCACCATGAATCCTCATCCTCGAAGTATCTGGCTGTTCTGCAGCGACAACAATTTCAGCAACCAGCCGAACTTCAGTCTGAACTCGAGCCTGGACCTGACCATAGAGTCCAGCATCCACCTGGTGAACGACACTGGGGACTACAACGTGGCGAGCGAATGGAGAATAACCGAACGGGAGGACATCGGGGGTTCTAGAATCGTGGAGGAGGAAGTGGACCTGGTGGAGCATTCGACGCCCTTACCCGATGGGAGCTTCCTCGAGAAGTTCGGCGATGCCCAAGTGAGCGTCCTGACCGTGGGAGGCTTCCAGAGCAGCTACGGTCTCATCTACACCGTCGTCTACGCACTGCTGGCCTACTTGCTTCCGTTCCTGGGTGTCTGCTGGATCTATATAAGCATCTATTCAGCAGCTCATAAGAATTCAGAGCGCGCCAGGAGGACGGGCTCGGGGCCCATGCTCTCATCGGCGAGCTTCTGCGAGGAATATTGCTCGGTGAGGCAGGACGCCTCCGCGAGCGACTTCCGCAGGATACCGAAGATCTCGAGTCTCTCGTCCATCGACGAGAGCATCGAGACGACGGCTAGTCAAATTCCCAGAAGAAGGTCGGAGCTGGTGCTGTCCTCGACGATCGACGAGGAACCCTCGACGGTCGTCTTCACCGTCGGCTCTCAGAAGGTCGACGTCACTCCGCAGAAATCGCAGCCACCGGAAGCCAAAGATACTACGAAAGTTCCTATCTCGACTTTGAGGGCCAAGTTCCTCGACAAGTGCGCGGAGGACCGTCCCACGGAGCAGCTGGTGCGTAGCAAGTTCCACGACCGACCGGATGACAGGCGCAAGTCATCCCATGATCTCATGTACGAGGAAATGCTGCGACGCGATCTCTCGCACTTGGTTGACATGCGCATGGATGGGTCGCTGAGCGGCAACAGCAGTCAGGACGAGGATGAGGATGACGAGGATGATTGCGTCGGGGACGACGACGACGACGAGGAGAACGAGTACGAGGGGATGTTGAATTTCGCCAAGGGCCGTCATCTTCGTGACATCGAAGTGTCCAAGTGTCTGAATTCTGTTAACGACGAGAGCACCAAGTGTCTTCGGCGGGACGAGAAGGAGTTCCTGAGGACGTCGACGATGGCGCAGTCCACTGAAGAGTTCAGCAGTTTGAACGAAAGACGAGCTGATCCGGACCTGGCCGCTCATCTCGAAGTACAAACTAGTCTGTTTGCTCGCGCCAGCGAGCCCACGGCTGCTTCGAAGCTTCTGGGTACAGTACAAAATAGTCATAGAGCGAGTAAGTCTAAGAGCCAGCACGGCCACCTTCCTGGAGGAAGGATGATCAGCCGATTGCTTAATATAAATCACCGAATGGACTCGAACGGCTTCGAGGCATCGGATGTGGAGGTCCAGCCTGCTAGACTCTCGGCAGGCAACTACCTCGAGGTCAACTCCTCGAGTTCACTGCTGACGACATCAGCGGGTACTCCCATGGTGACAGTGACACCGCCTAACAAGGTCCCGCTTCACAGGGTCTCCAGCATCAGGAGTACCTCCAGCTACATCAACTCTCTCAAGTATAGGATTAGCAACGGTAGCTTATTTAAGTATCGAGAGGAGACCAGGGCGGCCAGAGTGAGCGCCCTGGTAATCGTGATGGGTCTTATCTGTTGGACGCCCTACGTCGTCGTCCTGATCCTCCGTAACTTACCGGACTTTGCCGAGCAGCGCGAGATGTCGCACAAGTACGACGTGGTGGCCCTGAGCTTCCTTATACTTGCGGCCTACGTCAGTCCTCTACTGTTCGGCTACCGGTCCAGGCGAGTTCAGAGAGAGCTCAGGAAGATCTTCTGCTTCAAGAAGGAGCTGTCCTACAAGAACAACAGGAGTCTCATGGCCAAGAAGATCCTGAAGAGACGTCACAGCAGCAACCTCAGCCAATTGGAAATGGACACCAAGTACAACATCTTCAACTGCGTCTACGGGAAGAATCGATGGCCCAAAGAGAAGGTCCAATTTATGCAGGTACCCGAGACGGCCCTGGCGGTCGAAACCTGCAGGAGCAGCTTCTCCAGCGGTGCCAGCACACAAATTTCTACCACGTCCACCGAAGAATCTTGAAGGATCGACGACTAGACTCGGAAGTCGATTAATTGGCTCGACCCATTTACCGGATCAACAAACAAAGAAACATGCGTTTGGCCAGAGTCGCTTTGCGTCTTAAGCGACTTCATTGACGTAATGTAACGCGATAAAGCCACGCTTAACGTATGGATTCCCTCGTACTTAACATCTACTTAATATTAATGAATCTATGCAAAAGTGCTCGAGTCTTCTTTAAATCAAACGTCACGCATATCAATTTCGTATATGTTTTTTTTAAATATTCTTCCTTTGCTATTTATTATGGACGCTTGCTGTAAGTTTCCAATATGTACTTGCGACCAAGACAACTTGTGCTGAGGAGCAGGAGGAACCTTAGGCGAGAGAGAAAAAGAGAAAGAGAGAGCATATGTGACTGTGTGTATGTGCATGAGAGAGTGAGAGAGAGAGAGAGAGAGAGAGACTTCCATGACAGTTTTCCAAACTATTATTGTGAAGTACATCAAAGTTTTAATTGCCCGTGGCCGAATAGCTAAAAGCTCTTGCACAATTTCCTACCGAACAATCGTTACTAGAGAATCATTTAAGCGTCTACCAGCCAATCGCGCTTATCCATTTGCGTGCGGAAGACGTATTTACGTAAAAAGATTTGAAAAACAATTGTACGTATACATTATACAGTATAGTCAAAACGTCTCGAAATGAACTTTCCTATCTTAAGGAAAAAATTTTGGGCGAGATATCGTTTCGAATTCTTTTTGTTTTGCAATTAATGCGACTCCGATACCAAGATATTTTTTCTTTCGGACATTAAAAAGCAATTATCGAGGATGCATTTGCCGTAAATATTATTATAATATGGTAGCGAGGTAGATACGTGTATTAGGTAGGTACGTTTCGTGTATGCGCGTAAATGTGTGCTGTTAGCAATAGCAAAATGCCTGTATCCCTTTGTAGATCGTATAGAGAGAATCTAGATCGTCCAGAACGCGTGCACGTGCGAATGGAACGCAGCAGTGTGATTTCCTATGGCGTAAAATATAACGTTATCTGTAAATATGTATAGCATTTCATGACAGAGACGACGTGGGAGATTCTTAATTTGTCATAATTAATTTTGTACATTACAAATGTCTTTGTTTATTTATATTAAATAATCTGTATATAAGATGAACGATCATATAAAACAAAATTCTTACCACATCCATCGTCATCGTATCCCTCGTTCCTCTACCTTCTTATTGTCATTCCCTTGCTGCTACGTAAATCCATTGGTATATAATCGTACTGTAATACTTTTTAATTCTAATACTTTATATTATAACGTATATTTTGTACACCCGTCTTCGACTACCTGATACGTAGAGGGCAATTCTCCTAAACTTGTGATAACCCAAATACCAATCAATCGTCAATCATAATCTTAATTAACTTATGCGACTTTTATTAATAAACATTCATTAAAAACTTAACGGGTACTTTATATTGCTCCTTTCACACTGTACGACGATCCTTGTCGATCTTAGTGATAATGCTTTATTTATTTGAAAAATACATTGCAAAAGACAAACAAAAATATTGCGATTCCCATTTTGGCAATGGGGGTCACGTAAACGCCAATGGCGTGGAGTTCGCGAGGCCGTCCTTCACGGCAAACCTGTTTACTCTGCCGATACATTTTACTGTTCTTCGATGTGACAAATAAATCAGTTCACGTCAATTTTATTCGAGCATTTCTCAATAAAGATTTATTGGCAGTCACGCTTTTTTATTTATGGACATACTTTCTCGTCTGCTTCGACTTAGTCTGCTGTAGTCAAGTTCAGAGTGAAACGTGACTTTCAAGAGGTACATGTATATACACGTGAAAAGCGAGAAAATCTTTTTGAAAGTTTAGACAAACTAACGTTAATCGAAATACCATCTGCTAAAGTTTCGTATAATATCATTTCGAGATATTTGAATGGTTATTGAACATCATAAATGTGTGTCTAAATTTATAAATATACATTTTTCAAACGGGAGCACCACTCTAGTCATGACCAGACACGTTTATGCTAACGACTACCGGTGGAATTTTAAATAACGTCAATAGCTTTGAGTACCTGTTTCGAAATGGCAGGATTAGTAGCTTGCAGAGTATCTGATAATTGTTACAAGTCAAAACCTTGAAGAACAAAAGCTATAAGTAAATAAAAGTAAATTATAATGAGATACGACCGATACGACAGAAATTTCAAGCATTCATTTTCATGAAACACGAAAAGTTACGGAGCAACAAGTATAACTTCATTCGGGTAACACAACCGTTAAATGATTTAAAATTTGTCTAGCGTTCTTTTTCTATAGTCAAGATGACGAACCGGTAAACAAAAAAATTGAAAATTTTCCAGTCTCAAGATGTCCAAGGAATCACTCACTCACTCACGTCATTGACATTGATGGCTTAAATGTGCCTTAGGTGGGTCACGTTAATCGTATATTATAATAGTGGAATTATACTGACAATGAGTCTATTAAAGTGCCAAAGTCATTTTCGCCGTGGTCGCGCAACATTAGATAGACGTCATAATGGAATAGTTCTTCCTTTCGTCTCTACGTTACTTCCTGCGCTGCCGTCTAATAATAATGCCACCTACCGTACGTATGCATAACCTAACTACACCATGTATCGGTTGAGTTTTTAATATTTTTCGTTTTAGATCTTGGTTCATTTTTCTCCATTACTCTTATGGTTATGTATCACAGTAAGCCCTCTTCTCATTCTTACATTTTATTATTACTTGTCTTATTCTATTACTTTGCGAAATTACAATAGATCTCATTTCCATATGTATACTGATTATATGGTTAATTTTATAGACTTCGTAAATCAACCGAGCATGTAAATAGCTGATGGAATTGGTCATAAAAGCTTTCTGGACTTTAATTCATTGAGTACGTAAAGTGATATCCTGATATATTTACGAAGGTTCATCCTCTGCGTGGACTTTTGATGCACATGAGTCTTTTGGGAGACTCGAAGTTCTTGTCACACCCCGATATCATTTTTAAATGCTTATCGAAAAGGTCACTGTTATCATTTTTCAAGGTATCGATCGAGGTTCGAAAGAAAAAACTTTCAAAATTATCCCAACGAGATTCATCTCGTTTATCGCTTAGTAAAAATCCTTCTCACGTAATTGTTTATTATCTGAAGTATTAATTATTGTCCCAGTGAAATGAGATATAAAGATTTCTAGATAATGTCACTGGGGAAAAAGCCGCAACAGTTTTTATCTATTAATAAAAATACATATTTCCATTTCATTGCAGGAACTTGAAGCTATTTCGTTTTTCTTCTTGCTAGTAAAATATATTCAGTGTTATAAAAGCTTCGTGCAACGACATGTATTCTTCTTTAGTTTCGAACTTGGTCGCTTGCCAGAAACAAAAAAGATACTTTGATCACGTGATCATCACTTGGGAGCAAACTTGCTAATGTTATCTAAGTTTGTCAAGAAGTCTTCCAAGCAGTATAATATTGAACAATCAGGAGTTGACTTTCAGTTTTATGTAGACTCACCAGCTGTTTGTTACATTACTAAATCATGTCTGACTTTTCGTTTTTGGCAATTGGGAATGATACATGTGCAATTTCTTCTGTGCCAAGTACATGGGAGTATATATCCCCATGTACCTGGGATATTGTAAGCAGATGATGCACCCTACATAGCCGATAGAGGCCGCGGATCGTAGAATCAGGATATGTATGTAAAAAAATATTCAATGGTAGTCATATAAGATTTTCAACAATCGTGCACCGTTTCATCGCAAATCACAAACGCGTATCTTAGCTAGTACAGTTTGTGTGTATATATATATATATATCATCATGACAAGAAGAGGAGTCGCGAATAAATTATAAATGTTATCAGCAATTTATTTGAAAAAAAAAGCGTGGGAATAGTTGGCACTATGTGATAAATATTAGGGTTTCGCCAAAATTGAATATTTAAAAATAGACAATCCGGTTATGGCCGCTCACGCAGCTGGCGCTGGATACTCGTAAAACCAAGTTTTATTTTTGTTGCTTGTTAACACACGCGTGAATGTTAAGTGAAACGAGAAAAGAAAATTACTATCCAGTATCAACGACGTGTAGTAGACTTAATTTAATGAAAATTTTAAAGAATGCCTTTAATTAATCAAGCCCTACCCAAGACCCCCTTTTCTTGTAATTTAAATTGAAGCGAATCCCAAACGCCGTAAATTAATTAATTAACAGGAAATAAACTTTTATTATAACTGTGATTATTACCGTGATGTTATAATACACCTAGTTTTTTATTTTGCTTTAAGGCTGGCCATTTTTTTCATGAATTTGGATCGACTCAAGTAAAAATAATTATTCCCAAGAAATTAATGAAGTATACTGCCGATGTAGGAGACTCTTTGACGTTGACAAAATTAGCAGATAAATACACTTGCTATTACAGAGCAGGCTAATCAGAAAACTAAAAACAAAGATTTATAGATGACATTTAGTTACGAGATCCAGAATGCACCTGATGCTTGGCAACCAGCAATACATGCCTGATTGACAAATTGTCTTCTTTCAGGTGTCACTTGTTAACACGCGGCTTCTTCATTGCCAGATATGAACACTCTTCGCATCTATTAATAATGTGTTATGTCTCTTGTGAAATTAGTAGATAAAATCGTTAAGTCCAAGGTCGAGTTCATTAAGAGGCTACATAACGAATTGACAAATTAAAAAAAAAAAGATAAGAAACAGCAGTTCGCCCAGACAGAAAATAAACGATACGGCAAAGGAAAAGAGAAATAAAAATTAATAATAACAATACGTTAAAGAAAATTCGACAAACTTTCTTATTTTATTTGACATAAAAACTGCAGTGAGATTCTTGACAAACATTGTGTGGCAGTCAGCCATTACTGTGTTCTAAGATTTTCCAATAATTCTGACAATTCTTGTACAATTCTTTTCACTAGCACGACTCACTCAATCTTATTTATAAGTGAACCATCAGGATGGTATAAGATACCATCCTAAACTCTCAGTGGTTCATTACTTGTACTAATATTGAATTTTCATCGTGTCAACATATTGTAAATAATAAAAGTAATTCGTGTCAACATTATATATCCATATTTTTTTCCAGATTCTTTGTACACATAATATACCGTGAATGTCAATATCCAAGAAAAGTGGAATTGGAGACAAAAACTGAGACACCATACCAACATCATTAGTTGCAATCGGTGTATAGATTTTTTAAACTAATTTCACTTTTACAGACAGTATAAAGAATTCTCGAGTTCATGGTACCAGCAGTGCATAAAACGTATCAAGGTACCCTTGATTCTAACCTATCATTTACTTAGTATCTAAGATCTTACATACATATTTACAAAGACGATCAATAATCCACAGACGAATGATCATACGTATTTCTTAAATCTAGAGCGAATTATAATCTGGAGTTCTCCTGGGTCTGAGGCCTCGCCGGAAGTCGTGGAAGTTCAAGGGTCGAAAGACGTCCATCGTCATTGGTAAAGGTACTGTTATCGTGTCCAGCTTCGCCATTTGATTTATCATTTTTCACAGGTCCTCCCATGAGGAACATGGTGAAGAGAAACATGACGGAGCCTACAAGAATAATACGAAACTGAATCACTTCCGTCTGCATCGAGTTCAATCTTCATATACAACGTTATTTACGTAAACCTGCGCTCCTTCAGTTTGACTGAATGTTTAACTGGATCAATATACACCAGATCTTCATGAGACTTTGAGTTTACGTTCGGAGCTAGACAAAGAAAATGAGAATTCAAACTCACTGATGCCGTAAAATCCAGCGTAGTAGATATACAAGGATTCCCGGAAACCGATAACCTTCCTTGTTGGTTCGACCAGGATAGGTAGATTTCCACCAATGTTATTCATTACGAAGAGGAAGACACCGACTATCGTAGATCGCATGTTAAGGGGTACGATCTCGACAAGAATGGCAAAAACGATACCGAACCACATCTCAGCTGCAAATAAATAAGAAAAGCCATTTGAATATTGGACGTTTGTAAATAGGAGAATTTCGAGATACGAAAAAAATGAAATTTACCAAAAAAGTATGACACTCCAAGAGTAATGATAGCCCAGAGGGGTCCAAAGTAAACAGATCCAAAGGCAAAGGGTGTGGCTATTAATTGACTTATGGCCAGGACAGCCACACGAGATCTGATGCCCATTTTTGCGACAAATTTGTCACTGACTACTCCACCAACCACCACGCCAATGCTGCCGACAACAATCGTAACAGCAAAGAGCCACCAGCCAAGATCGTAGTCCGGGAAGTAGTCCCTGTAGTAGAGGTCGCAGTTGTACGCGAAGCACATACCACCTGAATAACATAAATCACGTCTTATGATTCCTCCACAGTTTACGATGCCAAGATGGACGTCACCTGTCATTGATCGACTGAAGATTCCGTTACTATAAAATTAAATGACTATTGCAACTCTCAATAGCCACTGAACCTACCACAGTGCCTGATACTCGCAGCCAAACACAGGAGAACAATTCTCGGTTGAAAAATGACTTTCCATATGGACACTTTCTTCCCATCATTCTCAGAGTCCTCGCCAATGCTCTTGCGGGCAGGTTCGTTCAAAGTGAATCCAGTCAGAATAGCTAAGATCAGACCAACAATGCCAGTACCGTAGTAGCAGACTCTCCATCCCTACAAAGAAAAAGTATAAAAATTTCCTTTCTTCGCATTCCTTGTATCCAAAACTTAAGGACATATCTGATTAAGGCGGAGTAGGGCACAAATTGTCCAGTTCCTTCAGTAATTTTCAAGAGTAAAGATAGAGGCTTTCCACGCCATCTTTATATATATTCCTCTATGATATAAGACTTGTGCGCATGCGCATAAACGGGCATTCAAGTATGCAAAGTAGCACGGTTCAGCATGGTTTAGATCTTATGTTATCAATATTGAATACTTGGGACCTTTGCCAGGATTTTTTAAAGCCACGTTTTAGCAGTCCACGTGTACGTTTTAGGAACGTTACGTAATCTCGTGATTGAATTTAAATCAAGTTTGCGATTCAGCATCGGCTGCCAATTAATTAAAACGACCCATTCTGATCCGTGCAGATTCATTTACTCGGACTGAGCACTGTGCATTTCACTTGGGTTTCCTCTAATCACTTGATTCCATTGTTCTGATCAGATGCTTGGACTGTGATGGTTTTGAGGTTAACAAAGTACTCACGAGTCCCCATGCATTCATGTCAGGTACGTATCGACCAATTGGAAATGCTATTCCATAACCGCCGTAGATACCCCAATTGAATATGGACATCACGAGGCCACGCTGTTCTTCTGGAAACCAATCTGACAGTAGTCCAGTTGCCAAAGGATTGCACCCTGCTTCCCTGTTGAATAATACAATTTTTAAAAATGATTCTATATAAACCCAATACCGATGTATTGATTACGACTATCTCCTACTGTACACTGGATATTCTTTTTTCTCTCATCTTTCAACATACCCTGCGGCAAGAACCATTCGGAGAAGAACGAGCTGCCAATATTCTTTGACAGCTCCCATCAAAATAATGGCTACACTGAAAACCACAGTACATATCGCCAGTAGCTTCACTCTGTAAACAATAACAAAATTATAGTTTCAACTTTATTGCATCGCCCTGGCATGAATTCGCTTCGCGCAGATAATTCAGTACACGTGAGAGGTTATGTAAGATTGAATTATTCAAGTTTTTTGAACCCATAGGAGACCTCAGCCAGTCGTTCGACCGCTCAGATTGGAAAGAACACGTGATTATATTCCTTCGTGAGAAACAAGCCTCGGGACACGGAGAAAAAAGGAAATTATGTTTATTAAAATTTACTTATTTATTAAAATGCTTTTCGAACTAAAAGTAAAGAAGCTTGGCTATTGTTGTATTACTAAGTGTCACCTGTTGTATCTGTCAGCGGCAATCCCCAGGATGACACCGACAATAGTGAAAACGGCGATGAAACTGGGTCCAGCCAATATTTGATAGTCCAAACCGAGTCCATTGTAATTCCATTCGCAGTAATACGTCCCGTTCAGGTTTAAAGTCAGGCAGCTGTGAAAGTGAAAAATGAGCAAATATTATCACACGATTATATTGCAGGATGAATACACAAATCTTAGGAACTAAGTGCGATACAATTTACGCGGCTCTATATTTGCGTAGTGTCCTTCGACGTTCTGAATTCTCGATCGTGTAGTGTAATTAGCAAGAGCAAATAAAAGGGAAGAGAGAAGATTGTTATGTAATGACGACACGGTCTGTGCACATTTTTTTAAATACATTTGAAAAGAGAAGCTAAAGTTTCACGCGCGACTGGAGACGCGGACACTCCGGCACGAAGAATTCCTCTTGTATTTCTTTTCGTATTCTACTAGGAAGCCATTAACTTACTAATCCGAATTGTTGGCAGCTTCACATTGAACTGGAAGATCGGCAAGTGAATAGTCAGTAGAATTCAATTGACATGCTATGTCACCGTAATGTAAATCCTCTGCAGTAGCTTTGCTGGTGACACCTAGAAGGGAATAAGAATAGAAAAAAAGATATTGATTAACGATAAATTGAAAAATCAATTATTTCATTATTTTACTCATTTTTTCTTCTTTTACTCACCAATCATATAATGGCCCAACTCGCCAAGCACGTATCCAAGGGATACAATACCAAGCGCATAAGGCTTGTAAAGGAATTTTAACTTCTGAAGAACCGTGCTGAACATCGTGCCCTGAAATATAATTTTTTCAAAAATTTATAATAATAACACTTTATATCAATCATCGACTTCACACGGTTTAAAAGCAAATTTCAAGTGCCATTAACTTTTCTCAATCAAAATTGAGACTGCAAGACGTATTCTAGACTCTCAAGGCTTGAAGTCATCGGTCGTTAATAATGCTGGGCGGATACTCAAGTCAACCTGGTAAACGTAGTCAATGATTGGGCAGAAATCTGCAATATTTTCATTGCCAAGTTCTCGGACACACCTCTGGCCTTGAATTGGAGCTACTCGTCCTTTTATATTTTTTTTCAGTTTCCTTTTATTTTTCATTCTTTGAATAGTTTTTATGCCAATGGACAAGAAAAAACGAACGAGTTCTTTCCCCTCCCCCACTCCAGCCCTATATGACGTCAGGTCAATATTTCATTGCACAACGATTTCTATAATTGCTTGTATCATTTTAATATATGTTCCATATTAAAAGATGACATCGATACGATAATGTGACATGGGTTCATTCTAGAGAGACGTATTGTTCTCGAATGACGTATAGTTGACGAAACTGGATTGGTGAAGGAGCAAGGGCGGCGGGTCGGTATTACAGGGATTTGTATTTAATATGATATGAATTGTGAAATAGTCGATCAAACTTTTAGCATTGTACAAAAAATTACTATCGATTGCGTGAGTACAATTAGAGTTAGCATTGAAGCATCTAGACTTCCAAGCCGGAAGTCGAGACTGGCTGGTAGTATAAAATGTAAATTGTATCGTGATCGCGGAAAAGGAATAAGTCTCAGGATACGTTGCGCATGAAATGCAGTTATAAAACTGCATAAAATTAATATTCATGAAAATCTCCTATTACTTTTGATTCTAACGAGCTACGTAGACTCGTTTTAACGATTGGCGAATGGTCGATCGTCCAAGGCCTCTGCGCATGTGCAGCAACGGAAGTCAGTCGACTCGATCAGTTTCTAGTATTCTTCCGACACGAATATTTATTGTCTTTTTTTCGTCCTTTAATCAGATTCTTCGATCAGTTATATCAGTGTCTGTAAAATTTTTACGCAGCCAATATAAATACTATGTTTACTACTTGTAGACGCTATTAAGGCTACTTAACCTGCAACTCGTTTTCTGCATATCTTTTTTCCCTCACTTTGCATTCCCAGTGGGCTTGATCTGGGACCCGATTGACATTGCTGATACTTTTATTCGTCCGAGTCGAGCCTCTGGCCCCTCCCTCACGTATCAAGGTCAGATCTGTCAATTATTACCTGGAAGACTGTCGTGTAGTAGGAATCATTAGCAACGGGAAGTTCGATACGATCATTGATTTATGAGAGTAAAACTAATCAGAGGAAATACTCGTGCAGAAAATGACTTTACGATCGAAGCAATTTTTATTGACTCATAATGATTTTTCACACTTTACAAATCAATACAAGGCAATTTTTGTATAAATATTTTGTATAATGCCGAACGGGAATAACTAACGCGTGTGTCTTTAAAAAAAGAGTTTAGATCAATGCCAAATCAATTGACAGAAATCGAGGCCGCTAAATTGACGTTACTGTGACGTTTACTTTTTATCTTCATAAGTACGTAAACCAATACAATGCATTGATCATTGAAATAGTTTTTGGCGGTTTATTCACCGGTGTCGATTTCTACAATTTGTCAAATCAGCGATAAAATCGATTCTCCTTGAATAGCAGACGGCCGTAATTCTACGTTTCTGTCTTGCGTGAGACACGAGGAGGATTTCGTACGGCATGTTAGAAGATTGCGTGAGAAAACTGCGCTTCCCAAGATTAGTAAACAGTGCGCAGGCAGTTGGAATGTCCTCAGCTAGATGGCGGATCCGTGGCAAATGGTTCGTGCATGTCGTTTAAGCGTAAGGGAACTTGGAGACTCGTACGCAAGTTGGCTACCTTGAGCCCGAATCAGTGAGACGGAACAGAATTATTATAATCATATTAATTCCAGTGCTTTTCACAGTGCACGTACTGATCCTGACTTTCAGTGGCTGCTGTGTGAACGCACTTTAATGCACGTGCCTATATACGACGCACCTCGTAGGCAGATATCCTATCCGGCCAACCTCTGAATGCTTACACTGTCAATAATTTCGTAATGTTTCGATATAATGCAAGAAACACCTTTTACATTTGCTGGACTAATGCCATTGGTACGTATTGCGTAATTATGCATTATGCATCTATTTTATACATTTCCAATTTACGTATAGTATACGTTGTATGAGAATTCTAATGACAATATTACACCTTTTGATCGTTCGAGTATTTTTGCTAATGCAGTTGCTATTGCATTCTATACTCTTGTTACTGTTCAATTATTCGTGGCTTTTGTTGTCAATGAAATAAGAATTTGTCAAATCTAGGTTAATTCTTTACACGATACATTTCAGTAAGTAACGATATACATTTATTTACGTATAATCGGACAATCCATTGACAGTTCCAGTTGCGCAATGTCGTAATACTAGAGGAATGCAATCGTCGGAGTAGCTTCTTTTCACATAAATTCCAACCACGTAATGGCCATTATACCGATTCTTCTGGTTAGAGTTGCACAAGATTTTTTCATAACTCCAACGTATTCCGGTTCAGTGAAACCTATTACCAGTGGATGAAATTCAAGAAAGTTGTACACACTGGTTATAGCTAACGTTAATTCTAATCGTCTACGTGAATCCAACCGCTCCAAGCTATTTGGATTACTTTAATTTTACTGGGTCCAATGACAGTCGCGTTTCTAGACTCAATTCAGAGTTCAAATAATGTGTATGTCTTGGTCCTGTCAATTTTTTTTTAATAATCTACTGCCACTATAACTAATTGCCAATCGAATTGTAACGAAACGCAAGAAAACGCAATGTTCCAGTACCTACTCAAGAAGGTCTATAACCGTAGCAGACTCGGGGAGTTTCTTTAGTGACGGGTGTCGTTGCCGAACAAGGCCAAGCGGCCATTAAAGGAACTAGTGAAGAAACGTTGACTCACGGCATAAACTTGACAATGAAAAAGATTTAACAAAGGATTTTTTAAATAGGCACGGGGCGACGTCTGCTGTGAGTCTTGAATAGATTTAAAGATAAAAATGACTGAGATAAAATATTATTGGCTTCCACGAGCAACAAAGAAAGTCGAACAGTTAAAAATGTATTGTTGCATACGAGGATAATTAAAGCTCGACCACTCCTTGTTTTTCTGTTTTAAATATTTCATCACAAGTTTCTTTTTTTCCAAGTAAAAAAAATGTATTCCATATTATTCATTGAATCGAACGAAATTAGCATTATCAGTCTTATACTTCTTATAAGTAATCAAAGTCCTGGATAACAGGACACCGTGACGTAACTCGTCGCAAAACAAGAAAAATGATCTCGGGAGATAATAAGTATGTCATCGTTAAATAATACCGTAATTCTGTAATTAATCTTCTTGCGAGCTCATCGTTTGCGCAATCCTATCAACAGCATATGTGTCACTTAATTGATCCTCGTGTCTTCAAAGGTACCGCTAATCACGTGTCGTCGTATGAAATGGTTAATAATAAATATATCAAAATGACATTTGAACCGAATAATTTTCTTCTTTTTCTACGAATTCCGTCGATTGCGCAATTCAACAAATTCCGGGAAACCTCTAACGATCAATTAAACTTTCTTCCACGTGGCACTAAGTTCCTAATAATCTGTGTATCCTTCTAGTAGCAGGACAGTAAACGAAGCGTCAGTAGGTTTGCAGAATAATTTTGTGCTGACCGAAGTACTTTGTTCCGCTGTCCTTATTACTCTCCTTATAATTATTATTATTGTCAGGAAACCGAGCCAAGTCCTCGCACGCAAGATATGTCCACAAAAGGTCATTAATTAATATGATCATTTATATTTTCATCTGTAACTTACTCGTATCTTATGATCATACCGAGCTTAATTACTCGAGGAAAATCTAATTAAAGTGAGTACTTGGTGCAAATGCAAGTAAGGCTAATCCGTGCGATGGGAACGTAGTTAACAGTTCGTGACACCAAGAGCAAAAGTGGCGTCAATAATGGTGATGACTCTTGTTGAGTATAAATATGTAATTCCTGTTACGGATTTACGTCAGGGATAAGAGAAACTTTTGCGATCGACGATCCATACTGATTAACATGAAGGGTCGAAGGCTTTACGTGATCCTGGTTCGGACGTCGATGGACAATGAAAAAAAAAAAAACGTGCTCGAATAATTCGATTGAAAAAATAATTTTGTAAAATTGAAAAAAAGAATAAATTTTTTATTTTTATTCCTCGTAACTAATCAACTGTGAAACTCAAAAATGTGTTTTAAGCACGGATATCCTGGTTGGCTATACGTGTATTGTCTAAGGTATATATATAGCAGCATCTATCGACAATAGTACTTTCGCCAATTTTAAATCGATCAAGCTACGCTCCTGGCTTATCAGCACCCTGGAAATTCTAACCACACCTGCATTATCGAGCGACATTAGTTTTCTGTCCTTTGTTACAGGGTTCGCTGCATACTCCATCCGGTTCGATGACTTTTGTCATTTTCTATTCTAGACGATTTAATCGCTCATGCGAATAATGGAAATTTGCCGCGATATAGTTTTTGCCGGTCAGTAACTTATAGCACGTACTACCACCATCGTCTCGACAGACTATTTTTTTCTCGCGAGCACATGTCTAATAGAAAGATCAATTGACGTATCATTCTGTATCTAACGACTTGGACGTTTAAATAAAAGCACGTAGACAACCGAGTAGGGATAAACTGTTGATCCAAAGGTTAACCAGGTACGATGCTGTTAAATGCATCTACTCCAGATTCCTCGAGATCAACTTAGATTACCGTATATCCGATTGCTTCGGGTCGATAATTATAAACAATAAAAAAAAGTACTAGAGAATTTTAAAAAATACCGAATTTTTTAATGACGGTTAAATTTTAACAAATGTTTTTAAAAAATTTTCCCCGTATAGTTGAACGAGTAAAAAAATTTATAAAGTTATCATAATATACTTACGGGTAATCAGGTACCGTGGATAGTCAAACGGTTTCAATTGAAGTACCAAAGTGTCGATTAAAAAAAAGAAGGGCTGAATCAAGAGCAGCGGACGCTTTTCTCAACATTTACTTGCACATGTCGAAGATTCACTACTGGCGCACTCTACTTGATGACGTGCGATGAGCGAATCGAATTTGAAGAACGAGATAAATACGTCAAAAGAGAAACTGCCCCTGCGGAGCAGAGGATTGTCGTTTAAAATGAGTCTCGGAGAGGCAAGGAACCTCCATTTATAAGAACGTCCCAAGCCTCGGTCCTTCCGTGGGGTTTACTGGAAGAAGAGGGAGGAATGCCAAGTTGCCTTCTGTTCTCCACGATCCTACACTACCTCCTATTATTCTAACGTTATCCTTTCCTATACTTTCATATCCTATCCTACTTCAGCTGCTCTACACTGATTCGTACTGTTGTGCTATATCGTGCTGTGTGCCCCCATGCTTTCCGCACTCAGTGGGAGAAGCTTGGCAATCGTGTTCTTCGTTCTTCAAGGCCGCATATCGTGACCGCCTCTGTATCACCATCGTCATCGAGTCACGATCAGGAGGTAAGAGTCGAAATTCAAATTTTATAATAAATAAGTGCATAGATGACTGCCGTGTATTATCGATATGTAACGATCGAGTGATCCATAACCAGCATCCATATTTTTTTTTGTAAATTTATATATATTTTAATTTTTGTACCAGTGTCTTTTTTTTGGAAAATTTTACTTTTCAGGTCTGTAAAGGAAGTTTACTTGGGAATGGAGAATCGATATATTAATTATTTATTACCTTGTTTATTGGCTCATAGGGTATATGCGTGATACCTGGTACGACTGTTTTAATATCATTTGGTCACGATCTAATAATTTCAAATGTTCATTTGAACTTCTATTTAGTGTCAAATAGAATGAATAACTTGTTTCGTCAAAAATGCGTCAATAGCGGAAAAATGAATGTAGGGGATAATTTGGTTATTCTATTAAAGTTTGGCCGATCTTTTTTTAAACACCCTGTACATTGCAAGAACCTGAAACTATATGTTTTACAGTTTGAATGGGTTCATGGCCGGTCGAGATACGTATGTGAATTATCCGAACACTCGTACAGGTCTCGTATAAAGGTTGCTATTCAATTACAGGTTGTTTCTGTAATACTTCATTAGGATCGATATACTTGTAAGAAGGTCATCATAATTAATATGAAATAACACTTGCAGCGAGTAACGTGCGTTTATCGATAGTTGATAAGACAGATCAAGGTAAAAGAAGAAATTGAAATTCATAGAGGTTAATGTAACTTTGAACCTCATATACTCGATGCTAAGATTTATTTCAAAATTTTATAACTTTGTCATCATCATTCAGATTCCTTGTTCCGTATTCCCAATGTCTCTGCAATGTATTTAATAAATCATTCCTAAAAAAGGTACGTGTTTCAGACTCTAGATTTGTACGCATTACCAGCGTTAGTTTAATCTTAAAAAAAAGTCGACATTGACTTTGAGGTGTTGGCATAGATTGTTTTTGAAAATCCTAATAAAAAAATGTCCTACTTCTGCAACTGATTCAATAATCGCGCATAATATTCATCGATGACTGTTCTTATAGCTTTTCGTAACTCCTGACCCACCCACATACCGACTGTACAGTCAGTCACACAACAGACACAGAGCAGTCACGACCACACTTGAAAAACATTGTTCACGAGGTCATCAAATATATGATAATTGTTCCTGGCAAATTGTCAGGCCTGATTTAATGTGTGTTACAAAAGCACGTGGTTTGCTGGTCAGTGTAGTAAATGCGTTCACAAATCTCACGTCTCATTTAAATCATTCCCAGGGTCGAAATTCGGCGTCGTTATCGTAACGTTTAATCTATTTATCCGGTATCCTTGCGGATCTGATTATCATAGGAAGAGAGGAAAATGAGACTGAAACAGGAAGGACCATACCTGATGACCTCACACGAAAGCGAAAGGGATAAATGAGTTGCTGCACAAGCTGGAAATTACACTGGTTGACGTACGTGGACGTTATATTTTCTCATAGGTTATGGCTACGCTCGTAGAAGTGGATACTTGTGAGATATTTACATAAGTTAGGTGATCATGGACCCATGTAAATGATGCAGTTTATCTTGAGACTCCATTCCACTTACATGATAATACAGCTTGACAGGTTGCACTATCTTCTGTTAATTAACAGCACAGAGAACAGCATATGCTCACGGGTATTCAGGAAGGTTAGTCATCTAGAGACAGTGACATTGTGTTTATGTCGTCCTATAGAAATTTGAAATTGAGAACTGTTCATAAAGAAAGTGATAAGTGTATGTATAGATTTCACCATTGTACGATACTTCGCGATAAACTAATCGCAGTGCATTCTGGGTAATAGCAGTAGACATTCAAATCGTAACGGACTTTTGAATAATTTTGAATTTTTGCGGTATAAAAATAATAAATAGACATTTCATTATATTCGTGACATTGCTTTGAAGTTTGAGTGTTAAAATTTCTGTGGACATTAAAATATCTTCAGTGGGACGTTCTTCTGTCGTTTCTGTCAATTGAATTATTCGATACGTCTGCAGTTGTTTCAGGTAGACACGAGCAGCTCGTAAGAGATTTTATTTTTAAAAAATGAGAGATTTGAGTCGATGATACCTGCTATAAATTTGGAAAGTGTGGACGAGCCTTAAGAATCGAAACAACTTGTACGCACTCTCGCTCCTATCGACCCATCGGGAGGGAAGAGAAGAACCGCTGCTACGTGCCAGATGAATCCAACCCTCATTCGAGTACGAATCGCATCCAGTTTACCTCAGGCTGGAATTCTACAATTCAAATCTCTCAGGTCTCCATTGATATCAATTTTTTACGTTGTGTTTGGCTGAAATAAGCTGAAAATAAAGTCCCAGGATAATCGTCGCGCTGCGAAAATCAAATAACGTTCTAAAAATCCTCGCGAAAACACGTAAACAAGTGGGTGCGCGGATTACTGTAAATCGAAATATTACATTTTACTGACACTTTACTAATACAATTGATCTTTGAAATTATTGTTGCTGTTATTAATATCGGTAGTGGTAGGTAGGAATGATATGATTTTACACATTTCTTAAAGTGCATTCCTGTGAGACGACTGCGTCGTGTTGTCATAGATTTTTCACATTCCTTGTCATTTGATAACGTTGTACTGCGAGATACAGTTTATTAGAATAATCTTAAGACTTGGTCTAGGTACATTTTAAAATAATAATTAATTTAATTAATTATTCAATTTCCATAACGAAATCTGTTAAATTAACGTTGAGTGTAAAATACATTGTGAATGGTTCGTGTGTACGTCGGGACAATGTAAGAGACGTTCTTTTCGTGATTACGTAAAATTAAAAAAATAATTTTCGCGTCAATGAATATGGAAGTAACATTTTCTATGTAATGAGTCTGCTTTATTTCTACGTTAGGACTAAACGTATTGAACCTAACAGGTGACTAATTCAGATGAAAGGTAAGTCATTGCGAATAATTATTTTAAAAATAATAGAATGTCTCATAGATATTCTATTTCATTTTCTTTTTTTTTACATAACCCTCTTTTCACCCTATAACTTTATTACGTCGTACGAAAATTCACGAATTTCACGTACGGATAATATATAAAAATTTAAGCAAACACAGTATACGTTCTAAGAATCTAAAGTTGTCTTATTATTTCTTTTTATTTATATTGATTACTTTATTCATAACTTATTTTCACCAGTGGACACATATGTCGCCTCCTTCACGCCCCTTTTCTCCCTGGGACATAAAATGAAAATTGACTTCTTCCTTTTATTCGTCATATTGATTTATGCAACTTATACATTTTCCTGTTGACATTAAAAACAAGCAATATATTTTACTATAGAGTATATGGTATATCTTCCAAACAGAATCCTTAGAGAAATCAGCGGTGGATAAAAGCAAAGTTAGGTCTCTCTATTCCGTCATCGAATTACAGCGCCTGAGGCCTAAATGACACTAACACGAATCACTAGACGTCAGCGACATTAAAACCGGATGTCAATTTACTGTACCTTTAGCGAAAACTTGGATTTGCTAAAAGAACAATATATTATGTATGATAATTGACAAATATCCTACTTAGATTTTATATAAATATTATTAATTTAAATAGCAATTGCTACGAGCGTCGTTCTTGAGGAAATTAGGAAGCTTCGACTAACGTAGTCAATTACGTATCCCTCAATTGTCTTTTAACGTCCGTCCAATCTGCTACCATAAATCTGTCTGCATTTTCGTTTTTATCATTACACTCAACAACATCCGCCATCTCTTCCCACGCTTGTCTCGCTAAACCAGTTTCATTTTGACGTTAGCAACGACCACCTGTCTCGGCGACTCCATTTCTTTCCAGCAAAGCCTTCCGGTTGGTTTTCCCGTAATCCACAGGCACACTCCCGTATACACTCCACTTGACGTAAGGCGAACTTCCGTCGTAGCTAAAAAAAGAAGAATCCATTTTCATTTCTCTTAAATATTACACGTGTATCATACACAGATGTAGTTTACAAGGTCAATCAAGATCATGATCATAATATCATTCATATTAAAAACGTTAAGAATTAATTACTGATAAAAGAAAAATATGCTGTTTCTCTGTCGTCACAATATGAACTTTTTGAGCCTCCGGTGGATACGTTATTATTTGACTCATAAGAAATGTACAGTAAACAAGGTCAGACCGGATATGGGCCCCAGAGAGATGAATAACGGATGTTCAAATTTCACTCTTCTTTATGAACAAATAAATTTCATTGATTTTCCTAATACTTACAAGTCCGTCTGATTAATTTTGAGCTTCTCCATTGGCCGACAATTGCGAATTGATACTTCATGGAAAAATTTGATACTCCTTTGCTGCGTTGCCGAATTTAGTGATTTGTCGCATCATCATCGTTGTGATTGAATTCCTGGAATGATTCGACAAAAACGTTAGCCCCAACAATATATAATTTTACAATGTTACTTTGAATGGAGAAAAAACTTGTTTCTTCAGACGAAAGGCTCGAAGAAAATTCAAGCACGTGATTCGATAGTTTTATTATTATCGACCGAATAGGAGTCGATAAGAAGTTGAAAAATAATTGAATCATTTATACGTATAAATCGTAATTTGAAAATAATGAAAAATAAAAATAGATTATTGGTAAAGTAGATGATTGTTGTTATTATTATTGGTAAAAATATCTATAATTGCCAGTAAGAATGCATCAGGCGTGAACCTTAACGAAAAGCAGTGTGAAGAAGTAGAATAGAGTCAAGTCAATCGACTCGTAACGAGCAGTAGGTAAACATCGAATAAAAACGATACCGATCGATTCGACAATTCTTGCAGTAGTTCGTAACTCTAGGATCTACTAAGAGATTCTTTTAATCAAAGGGGGTCAGTTGTGTCAGTTCCGGGCTGGGAGTCGAGTTGATGTTTACGTAATCTGTGACAATGAGCGTTATCGATCCCAGATCGATTTTGCGAGCTTTCAGATAGAACGGAGACGCGCAAGAAGTAAGAATTTGATGATTTTGCTGGTCATCGATCCGCGAGAGCGCGTGAAGGTTTTCCGACTTGGCGTCCCCAGGCCGTCTCGATGGCTGCGCCTGAACTCAAAAGCGTCAATCATCGACACGGTCATGGGCGTCCTTATTCCATTTATTCTTCTGCGTTGATCCAGACGTTGCGAATTGACTGGAAATTACGAGGAGTTAGCCAGTTAGACACAGTGATCTTAATTTTCCTTGAAAATTGACCGTGATCGAAAACTATCACAAGCGAGGTGTTTTGAAAGTCTTGCCAATTACTTGATCCCTCCTCCGATGACATCAGTAATGATTCGAAAAATTACCTAAGCAAATTTAAGCTAAAAAAGAAAAAAGAAAAATTATCAAATGACTAAGAAAGTCTCCAAAAAAGACTGAACATTTATTTCAAAAGTCATTACGTGAAATTTTTTTGGAAAGATTTCATATCTTCTACACAGTAAAACTGTACGAGTCATTACATGGAAACGGACCCTTAGATTGACAATCGACATTAGAAGATAACATATTTTCTAAGATCAGTACTAAAACAGGTTTGCCTTCGGCATTCCCACCCACAACTAGAATTTTTAATCGTACGTAAAATCCTACGAAAAGGTTACGTGTCCGTGTCCGGTGAACAAAAAAGAAAGGAAAGCAAATTCGATCGTGTGAGGATATCCCCATTCAAACTTCCGCTATTGATATCCTTCGATAAACAACAATGTCCTATATTCTAGATGACAGCAGCTGAGGAGCTGTGATAAAAATTTTCAAAAATCACAAGACTTACCTAATTCTCACAACTGGTCAATGGCATGAAAACTTCCGAAAAACTTTTATCTTTAGTATTTATTTTTATCTACGTATAATATAATTGCTTGCTGGTAGCTAAGTCGCGACGTGAAATGTAAAATGATTGTTGCTCGTCACGCTATCTTTGGAATGCGAAGATTGAATGATTACATATGTGAAATAATCAAGGGACACGTGCAGTCGCTAATTTTATATTCACTCGTGTACTCTTTACTTTCTATTCACTTAAGTATTGATAACGCTTATCATTTGTCCAGCATGGATAACCTTATACGTGTAAAGTTGGGTCAGTCGAAACTTTAATGAATGAAGTTTACTCAAAGAAGAATTTTCTCTGAAACTTATCCGTAAGGTCTTGGCATTTTAAGATTTATTAAGCTTACCATTGGCGAAGGCGAAAATGATTAATACAGTTGACGCGTTATTTGAATATCATGACTCCCTCGTGATATAATTAATGAATATAGTTCAGCCATGTTGACACTTGACAATTTATTGCTTAATAGTCCTTCCTGTTTCCTTCGTGTTTAACTTTACCCTTTACTTAGTCAATTGTCCTTCTCTTATACATTTCACACATCCATTAGCCCCTGAGCCATATTATTTTAAGAGAAATCTGTAAGTTTGACTATTCGGTGGAGATTTTCTGAAAAAGAATTATTTTAAAAAAAGAATGAACCAATCGCCTGAAATCAATTGTATCAAAACTCTACTTAAACCTGAAAATATATTTTCATTATATACATACTTCCTCAATCTATTTATCCAGCTACTTTAATAAAGAATAAAAAATGTTCATACCTGTGGCTGGAAATTCTTATATTACATTGACAAAACTTGGTGTATGCATCTGATAAGTATTTTTATAAATATTCCTGTACATATCAGATTCCGATATGCGATGAATATTCATAATTTTATTGATTACTATGCCACGGAGATCTGCATCTGTTGGTATAAATTGCTATAAAATATTCACATTGAGGGAAGAACTTGAATGATTAATAAAGATTGTGACATCTTACGTAATGCATTTTACCGTTTCCACGTGCCCTTGTCGACTTACTGGGTGAACGCGGAAACCTTTTACTTTTCTGCACGTTCAAGGTCACGTGTTTTACGAATAGTAACCAGTAGAGGATTCAATTGTGGTTAAATTCAAGTAAACGCGAACTCTTTATATTATTATTCGGATACGTTTCACTGATTGGCTACGTGCAGATTTTAGAACGCTCCGATAGTTTATCCTGGTAATTTTAAAATTATAATTTGAATCAGTGATAAGATACAGTCAAAAATGTATATATCCATGGGACTACTATTTGCTTACGACCTACGTTAACGAGAAACTAAGGGTAGGACAATCACCTATGAATTCCTCTGATAAGTATAGCCGTTACGCGTACGCCGGTAATAGGATAATCGAATCGTACGTGATGACTTTTTTCCCGTGAGAGAAAAAAGAAAAACTTGCCAGCATATGAAATCACTAGACGTGATTGAAAGTGCTTGTGTAAATTGATAAAGTCTAGAAAAAAAAAAAATATATGCGACGTGCGTGCCGACGCCCAGAGACGTTCAGTTTTTCTCAATGGAAATTCTTGAAACACGTAGTTCGTATGAAAACAGCCAATAATCTCTGGATAAATACATAAACGGGTCTTTGTTCGTGACATGAACCCATGAATGGGCAATAAAGCAAATCTATCGACAATGCCAACGTAATGGTCTGGTAGACCGAATTACACACTCAGAATGACAAATACGTGAATTAACGCAGAATATCAGAAGTCAATGATATTTATGAAATTACTTGCTTTCAGATGGAGAAGAATATAAATCTAAAATTGTCACGGAGGAAAGAGGAAAGTTTCACGTGAAAGTTATAACATGAACTGAATAAAACTTAGAGGTAACTAGATATCTAAAGACAATGGGTTCTTTACCGAATCTTCATGAGCTCTCGAAAGATAAATTGGAGAGTCCTGTTTACCGACCGGCGCCAATCGGTGGTCTGGGTCCTATGAAACTACCAGCGCAGCCACCACCGTTGGCTCATACCCACCGTCGTGCACGTAGCGGTGGCCATCATCATACTTTATGGGATAACGACACCATGCTCGAGGTATTTTATGGGCTCTATAAGACGAGCAATAAATATCTTATTTGCCAATTTGAAATCGCTTAGCGTGAGTGGCGTACATAACCTCTCTGTATCGTGTGTACACAATGTTTAGTAGAACGTAATCATAACTTTTAAACACTCAATACAGCACATGGCTACCTACTCACCCATTTCTTGTCGGTCTGCAAGAACTTCCGGGTTGTCATGGCGTCGTCGGGAATCGATGAGTTCCTCGGCAGGAGCGTCTTCGGTACGTCGCTTGATCGCAGCTGTGAGAACGGCGCCTTCGGGTCCTCGCCCGCCAAGGAAAGCCATTTTAAGACACTGCGCTGCACTTCTTCTGGGACACGCCGCAAGCTCGGCGGCCATGTTACCTATGTTCCCATTGCAAGCTGGTCTTGGCGCTTTTAACCCCCATCTAGGCCCAATACTCTTGGCCCTTCTTTATACCGCAGCGACGCTCACGTCGTGTTCCGCACCTATAATCGTACAGAAGCTCGGGACGAATTTAATCGTCTGCTTGAATCACTTGGTGACGAGCATCTTTGTGGGTGTACACCTGTACCCAAAGTGGTACGTCCTGGTGCCGAGTTATGCCCTTCTTGGAGCTTTTGCAAGTCCAAGCTTCATTGCCAGGACTTCGCACGTTAATATCTCTGCTGCGAGGTTGGGTCTTGTTTGTTCTGACCCGGAAGATCCTGATGAAACTAGAAGGGACTGTCTGCTTAGGAGGATCAATCGGGGACTGAGGTTAGCGGAAGACATAGGTCTTGCACTTGGTACGTTAAAGAAATCTATATTTAACATGTTTCAACTGTGGATTTTTAATGATTTAATAGAAAAATATTATGAAGAGTATTATTTGTATATCGTTGCAGGTTGCTTGATCGCTGCGATTCTTGTAAAAATTACAAATCCGAATCCATTGATGTCAATACATAACGAAATAGAGGACGTGTGTGGCGCGGAATATTGTCCTGAGGAAACTTATTTCTATAATGAAACTCTGTTTTTGCCAACTGTACCTGCAAGCACATCCGTTATGATAATCAGTGCTTGGCTGGGTTTGGCTATTCTTGCCTTTGGGATCTCTTGTGGATTTCTTGATTCCCGAATGAAGGAGCCTCAGAGTATCAATGATCGAGTCAGTACAGAAAATTTATTAAAAGCCGTTAAAGCCGCCTTTCAAGATCCAAGGCTACAGCTAGCGGCGCCACTTACGCTTTTTATCGGACTTGAACAGGGATTCATCTATGCTGATTTTACAGAAGTAGATTTATAACAATATTGAACAAATTTAATAATTAAATGGTAAATTAATATCCTTCTGCTTTCCAGGCATACGTTGTCTGCGCCCTGGGTGGCGCGGGGACAGTAACGCTAAGCTTTTTAAGCTTAGCCTTACTACAAGCACTTGCTGGAGCAACTCTCTCAATGCTTTTGAGGCATATAAGGCGACACTTTGTAGTAGGTAAGAAAAATTAATTGAATGAAACAAGTGGTACAATCTTAATACAGTGAATGAAATATTGAAAAAATATCTATTCATTTTAGCTGTGGGATTCGCTTTCCACGCATGTCTTTTGCTGGTCCTGGTTGCCTGGAGACCAGCAGGCGATGATCCTGCCCTGTTCCACGTGATCTCCGCAGCGTGGGGCGTTTGCAATGCAATTTGGGAAACGTTGATCTACAGTAAGCACATCTCAAGGAGTATCACAAGCATCCTCATAAGAGTTACAATTAAGATCAATTTTTTATTATCAGCACTGCTGCTTGGTCTTTACCCCAGCTCGTGGCAGGGTCCTATGTCAACGTCACTTTTTTGGAGATGGTTGGGACTGTCATTAGCACTCGGTCTTCACGGTTTGGTATGTACCAGGATTCGAGTTTTGGGTCTTGCTTTCATGCTCCTGCTCTCGGTGGCTCCATACTTGTGGCTGGAGCTTCGCCTAGCCAAACGTGGAAAAAGTTTGACTTCGTTGTGACCTCGCAGGTCGAGTTCTTGTTCGCAAAAGGGTAAGACAACGCACACCGACTGAGAGAGGTTCGTTCCATCCAGTTCACGAAATCATCGTCGATTCACCGGCATCAGGGAAAGAACGCGTAACGTTAACATTTTTATATGTCACACGAGAACTTCGGAAAGTTCGGCCAATGAGCACAATGCTGCTTTTTCATTGTCATAACCTTTCGTTGACCGGATGTCCTCCATTTTCATTTCTCTCTGACTACCTTGCATCGGATTGCTTTTAAACTTGGTACTACCTTCTTTCCTATCCAATAGCAACTCTATTCAGTGATTACCACCAACCTACTGAACTTTTGTTATCTGTTATCACGCTTATCAGTGTCATCCCAATCTAAATCGGCAAGACCTTCTCATACCGTGTGCGATATTATCACTTTCGCAACAGGAATCATTCAAAAGCTGGATGGAACGAAGACAATCACAGTTCTCGAGTAAGAAAATCTTGGGATTATAAGTCTAACTCGAATGTACTATTTTAATTGTGCTACGTTTCTCAATCATTGCATAAAACTTTTTATTCCGCGATGAAAGGTCGGAATTCGTGTCCGATGTGCTTTCTGTAATAATCGAAGTGTCCATATCAGGATATAATGATGAATCTTTGTGATAGATAGTTCTTCGTGTTACCGACTGTTAAACTATAAACGCAAAGTATTATTCGTATCATTCACTTGGATGACAATTCTTCGACAGACGATTACATAGCGGAGAGAACAAAAGTGTACGCAATTACGTACATTACTTATTACGATAGAGAATAGACAAATTCGTCACTGTATTTTACGTCAGGCGGAATACCTGTTTTTATTACCAACCTTGTAAAAGGTTCAATTAAATAATGTGAGGGCCATTTATCATTTTCTTGATAACGTACACACAGCTCGACTCATTCGATTTTTGCATATCAGGTAATTACGTTTTGTATAAATAAGGATTTCTGAGTAAAGTATAAAGCGAGGGTTTCAATCTAAAACGTGTGATTCCCAAAGTGAATGTGCTCAATGTTGTGAAAAATAAAAGTGAGATACTAATAGCGTGAAACAGCTATACATAAAATTACAAACTAAATGGCACATAATAAATAAATCAGGCACCTATCATCCTGATACTTTTTTATTCTTTGTATGTTACATAGATCATTTAATGTGAAGTCAGTTAAAGCTTCTGAAAATTCCGCCTGCTTTTATTAATTGAAAAAAAAGATCTATAAATGTTTTAACATGGAGTACGTGCCATGTTCAGTTGAGAATCTTTTTATATTCTAATCCTGAGGCTGTTCGACTGCAATAATATACTTTGTTTCTTGACTTTAAAAAAAAAAACTGTTTGGCAAGACTTGTTTTTGCTTCGTAGCCAATATGTATATGAAAAATAAATGAGAAAATGTTAATGTTAGGTAAATAACTGTACTTTGAGTGACACGTCCCACAGTTATGGAAGTGGGAAGACTGTTAAGCAATTCTCTTCAGCAGCATTCAAATATAAAATAAAGTAACTTCTGTAAAACTATACTAAAACAACTTGCTAGAATTGTAGCTGTACTTTCTTTCAATATCATTTTGTTGCCACATTCACTGTATTAATCAGGTCAAAGTAACTGAATATACTTTTGCTGTATTACTTTATTATCATGGCAATAAACTATAGCATATAGTTTGCATTGCTTTTTATGTATATACGTGTATTCCAAAGAAATCTTCAAGAATCTATCGCTCAACTTTCAACAAACTCAACATAATGATATTGTAATCTTGGATACTTCAGTGATTGTCAGTAAAAGAAAAAGGGAAAAATAAATACTCAAATATAATTCAATGTATAAACTCTCTGACCACTCTTTGGTCAGTCAGATTATGCAAAACTCATTGTTATAGCAAAAATATAAACAGTTCCAGGTTTTCTATATTTTTAATCTAAACAATTCCACTTAAAAGATGTCTATGTACCAACGTGTAATTTCGAAACGCCAATCGAGTGCATACCTATGTAAATTATTTATATTTTGTTGAGAATAACGACAGTGCATTCTCACCGAAACTACTGCTGTATGCAAATATAGTAATACTGCCATATATCACAGATTCAATGAATGATACAACAAAATAATTGATTGAATTTTACGTCACTATTCCTTGCATACCTGACTGCCTGTCACATATCAATGGTACTCTTGTAAATTAAATAAACTTCAAACACACCCAACATTATATTTGGGACTAGTAGTAGCATCATATAAATGAACTGCAGGTAAAGTGAGTAAGACAACAAATAATAGAAACTCCTTGTTGCACGTTGATAAGGCGTACCTCTTAGATAGCTCGGTTATAAAAAGATTTTAGCTCAAGAGCTTCTTGTGCAAAAAAGTAAATATTGCAAGAAAAGTGGTAACTGGTATTTTATGAAGTGGAAGTCCTGGCAATGACAGCAAACAGAAAAGCTACTTCATTTAGTGATTAGAAATGATTCTAATGTTGATATTACATAATTCATAATGAAAAAGTAAAGAAGGAAAAAAGCGAGAAGCACGGATTGTCTAACAATACCATTATAAACTGACTAGAACAGTGAATTGCAGGGCCACAAACATATTTCCATCGCAGGATCATCTATATGTGCGCAGGGGAATCTGTCGCTCCAAAAGAAACGAAAAATAAAGAAGCTCAAGTCCATAACTTCCGGATGGCCAAATAGATATGATATTTGTGACCCAGCATAGAAGTAAGACATTGTAAAATAGCATCGAAATTGCATATATTAATTGTATTTCACTAATAATAAATATTAACTTATTTTATATCTACCGATCTCTTAGTCAACTTTCATTTGTTTTTTCTCTCGTATTTTGAATTAGATAAAAAGAAATTCCATTTTAGACTTGCCCGAGAAGAAGCAAACAAGATACGCATCAGACGCTTATTGGAATGTGGAACTAAACTACGTGTACTAACCAAAAGCATATATCTCTGCAAATCTACTAATGAACAATTTATACTGGAAATAAAGAAAACGATTAGAATAATTAGCGCTGTACATAACAATATCGAAAATTAATGAGCACGACATATCGAGACTAGATCATCAAGTGCTGCCAGTGTTTCCGGTATGTACAAAAGAAACGCAGATCACACTCCATATATAAAATATAATAAATATTTCACGGGAAAAAATAGCAAAATTCTTTTGACAACTGTTCGATAAAACTACAACGGGTCTTGACGCGAATAAATTTACTTTTGCTCTTTCTCAGGTTGTCATAGGCTCTCGTGTAAGATCAGTCTCGTTCTACCATGCATTTAAGATACGATGTCCTTGGGAAGGACATAATTAATAGTCCTTAACACATGACACGCAGTAAGTCCCATAACATTACTTAGCTAAGTTATTGTCATCATCGTCATCATCATCATCGTCATATGAACGAGACACGCGGAGAGTGAATTAGCCTGTAGATATAGTTGGGTAATAATAATAATAATAATAATAATAATAATAAATATTAATATAAATAGTACAATTACAATCTAATATATCTGCATTAACGATATAAACAAACATGTGGAAACACTTAGCTATAACTTGTATAACTTTAACAATGCCCCTTTATTTATTTCACCAATTAATTTTCTTTTCCAGTTTGCATAGTTAACATGATTCACAATGATTCGCAGTACTAATTTCAATAAAACGTAACACATGCGTACTATTATCAAATAAAATATCTTAGACTGTATATTCTCGTTAGATACAATTTATTGTTGATTTTGCTATGTCATCCGATCGCTATGACAAGCTACAATAAGCTTCGAGATCGTAACGGACTGTACTTGCAGTTCTTGTTTCAAAAGAGGGGCTATGGAAGGTTGGAGGTGAAAGGTCGAAGTTTTAAAGGATTTTAAGGGAGGGAAAAAAATAGCATGAGATTGAGATAAATTTACAGAAGAAGAGGGTTGGTGGGATTAACGAGTCGACAGGCGAATTGGCGATTGGGATAAGCAACAAGGGACGCACAGGAGGTTAAAGGGAAATAATGAAATATGAGAAAATGGCAAAATACGCAAGAGTCGTCATCATCATCATCCTCACGAATCTGTCTGAACTCACTCGCGATACTTGGCACATTTTCATGGAACTCAAAACCTTCTGCGAGAAAAGAAATATTGAAAAACAAAGTATCAATATGCGCGCAGCAGCTGCTCAAGTAGTGAAGGGGGAGGAGGGGAAAGGTTGGAAAGCGCAAAAATCATTTAGCACTATAGCCAATTTCTAAAAGATATCAATACGCGACGAGTTTAAGGATGCCGTGTCGATTTCGACGAACTCGGACCTGCCTATAATTCCTTATCGTTCGTTTCGTTAAGATTCTCTTAGAAAAGCAAAACACTTTACCTATTGCGTTCCTAACGCTTGTAGCGTATCCCTTGGTAATAATTCAATTGGATTCGATTGACCAAACATTTATATGGACGACTCCGAGCGAAAATGAGTATTAGTTATAAAAAACTAAAACTTAATCAAATGAAATTGTGTCCTATTCGTCGAAACGTTTAGTCAAGAGTCATTTAAGCTTGGAGCTTCTCACCTTAAGTTTTCCTTCATCTTGTCCTACATCAGTTATGTATGAAAAGATAAACTATAACCACTACAGACGGTTACTTACTTTTGTTTTAATCTCTTTTCAAAATGACTTAATTACTGAATGCAATGCCTTGTATTCGTCGGAGATTAGGTGCGAAGCACCTTCTTCTCTCTAGGTTTACTCGTGTTTACCGTCGATGCGCATGGCTTAACAATTATCGAAAAACACAATTCCTTACCTAACGCAGTTACAACTCCGCAGGGTTTGTACCGATAGATGACTTTCATATCACGTCGTCGATTCTTCCTTACCGATTGGTCTTTTTTTCTCGTTCATTTATAATCACACTTTTGCTTTACATCATTACAAGCCAGTTTCAAACTACGAACGTTAAAAATACGTTCCTGCGATACACGTTTGTCTCGTAAGATAATCATGCAGTAGGCTTTACAGTACTTGACCCATTGACACATGTGTCTCCCTGCTACGGTACTTACATGTTCTTCGAGTAAGTACTTAAGCATACCTCGTGCCAATGTTTGTGTGATGGAACATTTTTCTATCTTCTCTCTCTCGCTCTCTTTCTTTTTTTTTTTTTTTCTTTATCACATCGCCTCTGTTTCTCTTTCCATCTCTCATGTACAAAGTTCGGAGAAATAGAAGTGCCGTAATGACGATGACAATTAGGACTGTCTATTGTAACCGAACTGACAACACGATTTGGAGCACAGAGGGAAATCACGCAGACACGATATCAATAAATAATTAATTTACACAACTGGCATTTCTTGAGATTCTTCTGCGATGTTGCTGGCCTTAAATGTTTCTACCCTGACACGTAGCATCGCTCCTTTACTAGAGGGATCAACGGCAGAGTAAAAATGCAGAAGACCCGAGGAATACCTTTTCATCGAAAATTGTTTGGCATTGCGAATCCACTACGTTGGACCTGAAAGAGAAAAAACATTGTTAGGGTTAGCGATGGAGTTATAATATGTTCCACAAGAGTTTTTTCTAGATCACTCTCTCTACAGAGGTTGGTGCACAGAGTGTTTGAAAAAGAACTTGTAGCTGTAATCAATAGAACGAGCTTGGACTCTTGAAAAATTAGAGTGGCCAGTATGTTGTATCAGGTAGTTAGCGGTCTTGGTATAATAACCTGACCAAATGCCTAACTATGTCGCCTGGAACTTAACTTAGCATACTGGTCGAATAAAGTGTCGCTTAGCAACTGTTAAGATTTGCATGGATTTTCAATTATTAATATTAAATTCTTACTTGACTCGAGTCTGGGAGATGCGTTCGCGTTTTACAGCTCACACTGGAGTGTAATTGCCCTTCGGTGTGTAGAATAGTTGTCCTCGCAATATACGTCTAATTATTTCGCTGAGTAGAAGCTTCTTCTCTTTCTTTATCTTAGTCAGGACGCCCCTGTTCTCTTGCGCTCGACGCGATAGATAGGGTAGTACTTCCTTGACGGGACCATAGGGGATATACTTGTACGCCGAGTACCCTGATTGACCTGAAAGTACATTATTACAACGTAAATCAAAACGCTCTCTGTTATTGAAGGTATTGTTCTCGATGACCGTCTCTCTTCCTTTTTAAGAGGATACAAAAAACGTTTTTCACTTTGTACTTACCAAGAGGGAACGTGATGTAGTCGCACATGCCGAATAACTGCCCAAAACAGATAACCTTGTCCTCGGGAGAGATTCCTATTTCCTTCATTCTATAAAAAAAGAATAAAGATTATTTTATTGGTCCACAAAAGAACAAAAGAAAGTAACGAAAGCAATTTCATTGACGTACTTTTCAATTGCAAAACGAACAGTATTCTCATTATGGGAGGCCACCATAATACCAATTTTTTTAGGATCTTCTCCCTTGTCCTTATACTGTTTCATTCTACGCAGACATTCCATCAGAGTCTTATGATAACACTCTGTCGTAGCCTCGAATGTCGGATTCGTCGGGTCCGGATAACCCATGGCAGCTGCTCTTGCTCTTTCCTATAGAAAAGTATTCCTGTGGGATTCTATGTCCAGCAATAAGGGGTATCGTGGAAAAAACCAGCTTCAACAAACCTGTTCAATGTAAGCGCCCCGTACGATCTTAGCTCCGAAATAGAAATTCTGACGTTCGGATTGTTCAAGATCAGTTTTGACCTCATTGTATGCATCCTGCAGGTACGTCTGGTACGTATTAAACACCACAGCCTAGGAGGAGGTAGACCACATTGACATTGAATGCTCATTCACTGATAATCTCTGTAACGAGACATACTTGAGACTACTATCCCTGTGTAAGAAGAAATTACCTTTTTCGTATTGTACTTGCGCATCATCTCCAGTGTCAGCCGTGATATCGCAGGTTGGAAGTAGGTCTGCTCGGCATCGACCATTATGCGGACGTTTAGCTTGTCAGCAATCTGATAAAGCCAATGAGAAGCCAATGAGAAGAAGGAATTGAACATTGATCGAAACGTCATTCGATTGAACTAGAGCTATATTGACTAACATTAGCATAAAGAAAAATACGTACAGAAACGATATTGTTCAACCGCCTGATCATATTTCTGAACATTTCCTCTTCCTTGGTGGTCAGTTGCGTCATTAGTCTCACCATCTTTCCTGTCTTGATGTCCGGTACTTGGAAGGTCTCGCTCAACTCATAGTTTTCATCCAGAATACCACTCCATGGGAACAAATGGATGACACTGTCAGAAAGATTTTTTTATTATTATCACCATTCAAGTGCTTCACCTAAATAACTATTGCCATGCTACTGCAACGATTAGAAAATTCTCTGACTTTATTTCATACAAGTATAAAACACTGAATTCGAAGATACAAAACAAACAGACGAGGAGTCCCCACAGTCATATCATCCAATGCGAAGGAAGCATATTTATATGGATTATACAAATGACAGTGGAAACTTTTGCACCATAATAGTAAGTACCAAATATCAATAACTGATCATGAAACTTATGTATAATATAGTAACTGAAGAAGGCTACGTCGAATATCATTGAAAGTACGTTTTACTAAGCGAAGCTGAAGAGAAATGTTATTTTGATACATGTGGCTTGCAAAAACATGAAAACAGGTACGAAGAAACAGTGCAATGCTCAAAGTAGCAAAGTATTCTTGTTAATACTTTGCACGAAAGGTCAATTCATGATATCATTATGAAGATCTTTTTTTGAGCAGACTGAAAAAAGCGAACTCTCTAAGCAAATTCAAACAGTCGTAATTCCATCCACAGGAAAATAACGGACCATGCAAGGAATCAAAATAATGTCAGTAAAAGATAAACGTATGTCCTTACTTTCTGCACGTCCAAGAGAGCATCCAAAAACAGAAATAACAGCATTAGAATAGAGACTTTCGATTGGTTCTCATTTGTTGAGTGAAAGAGTCGCGTTGTTCAAAAGTGTAATTGATAGAAGAACAAGCTGCGGTTCATATGCTTTGGAGTGAATCGATAAAGCGTCAGTAACAAAGAATAATGAATAGGGAAGAACGTATGCACGACAAAGAGAATCTTCGCTTGTGCGAGCATCGATCAAGAATTGAATTTGCGAGAAAAAAATTTTCAGTGTAAATTTATTTCGTGAATTGTCAACGCTTATTCAACGTACCCTTCCTTATCCGACTGAATTTTCTCAAGGAACTTTTGTACCGGGGCAGCGTCCCTAATATGTGCCTCTTCGAATTTCTTCTTGAAATCATCAGGTTTTGCATGGTGAGCCAAAACCGCACCTTCACCGCCAACCACGTCGGACATGTATTGACGTGCTCGCATAATCACTTCCGACAATTGTAGCTAGAATATGAAAGTCGTCATGACATTAATACGTATCAATGTTCTTTCATACTTTTACATTAAAAGTCTTTGTTAAACAGTGAAGATTCGAGTCCGCTGATAATACTGAATGATAAGCTCGACTGTATAATTAAATAACGAATGGAAGAATCTATAAAAGCACTTCGTGCACCCTGTTAGAACAATAAGAGAGCTATCGGTATCAAACTATCGGTATAAAGAAATACAATTGACTTACTAAAAGTTGGGGGCGTCCTAGAGCCGTCAACTTGACTGCCGTTATTCCTAAACCCATTGACGCTCCTGCATATGAAAAGCAAGTTATTTTTTTGTGACATCTTGTTTACTTTCTCCAAACAATATATATATATAGTATATACATATAGAGAATATAAAAACAAATGTCCCATTCAATAAAGTCACAGATATTCATTGACATCCATGTTAACAGAGGTAATTAGAGAAACGATTAAAGAAAAAAATAGTGAAAAAAGCCAAAATGAATCCCATGCTACTTTCTTCAAAGAAATAGATACGTATGTTTATTATAAATGTACTATTAAAGGTCTAGGATCTAGGAGGGTCTAACTAGAATCCTTACCAGGATTGGGATCGACTTGAGTGTTATTCGTGAGCTGTAATGAGGGATATATCAACTTCAAAGTCTTTTTTTCATCCGCTGTAAAAACGTTTCGTGCCATGTTAGATGATTATTACAAGCCATGCATTGATTACAGGAACTAACAGCCACGTCACAAATCCAATGAGACGCTTAGGCACACAAAGCATTTGGGGTCTCTCTTGCGGTCCAAGGGTTAAAACTAGAAAAGAATGTGGACTCAGTGAGAAGATGCATAAAAGTTTGAAAGAGCACGTGGTTCCTTAGCTATCAATTATTGATCCAATGATATTGAGAAAAGCATCGAATCACTGAGTGAAGGAGAAGTAGAAAATTGAGTTCTCAGTTATTTCATGATGAACGTTATGTCACGTCGTTGGCTGAGTAACATACAAGAGGACCTAGATCCTACTGGGTATTTATAAATCATAGAATTTTCGTCGACTCCTAAACGCAGGCTGTTAGTATTTCTATGCATCGACACTGTCTTCTGGTAACTGTCCTAGCTTCAGATACTAAATGCAATAGACATTCGAAAACAAGTATCCTTGAGCTGCCCAGGTACCATAAAACAAGAACATTGTACTGAACAATTTAGTTATCTAACTGTTCCATAAAACAAAACTCAACAAGAACCGAATACTAATATTGTAAATGAGAACCTGATGTGTTAAGAATCTCCAACGTCCTTGTTTCGCAGAAAAGATATAATAACAGTAATCATGAAAAGCCATGACATAACGCAATCACAATGTGAACTCGTAATGCACTAGTACAATCTACAGCATAAATTCCAAAAGCAGAGACACCAAGTATTATGTCGATACAATCTAGTAGTTTGTTTAAAGCTAATCCAATGATAATCACAGTGAGACTGTCATAAGAACGTAAATAACAAAGAAGTTGTGCCAAAAGCGTGTAAAAGATGGTACGGCCGGTGTTACTGCCACAAAAGATGGCAGAAGACTAATGCTGACCTGCGACAGCCTCCAGAGACTTGATGAAGATATCCATGTTCCTCTCGCAGGACGCTTCGTTCAGGTAAAAGTAGGTTCTGGCCGACGACACCTTGTACCGCCGATCAGCGAATGATTTTTCTACGTGATATTTCTTCAAGGTGCCTTCCTTCCTCTCGTCACCAGCTTCCGACACGGAAGCTCTGCAAACAATTGATAACAGGTTAACAACCGTGACTCGATGGCCAATTCGTAGGAGTTTATAACTTCTACTTTAATTACAATCATAACGTAACATTCACTGGGTGCGTATTCTGAATTTTGGCAAGTCGCCTGAGCAAAGCTACAAAAGTTACGATATACTAAGTTTTAATGTCGTTAAACCCATTAATGCTTGACAAATTATTGCTACGTAAAATGTAATGGGTATCAAGTATAAATGGTATGAGTTAAGAACATTTACAAATGTTTTGATGCAAGTAAATATCAGTCAAGGTGGTACAAGTGACAAGTCATATATCCATTTAAGGGATAAATAGTAAAATTGTGACTTCCAAGTTTGTATTTAAAAAATTATTAACTTTCTTGCCTGGAACGTAGTCAAGAAAGATTCTAAGCAAAACCATAAGTCTTGCATTGGGTGCCCCAATTTTTGTGATAGTGAAGAACATTTTACGTGAATAAGGAGACTCCAGCGAGACTCAGCTATATGTACTCGGATCAATAGTCTTTTACTAGGGCAGTGCACCTCCTGGCGGAAGGATCGATTTTTCATATCTGACCAAAAATAGGTCCAGTGCTCAGGATTAGGAGCAGAGTGTCATATTTTTGATCTGAGAAGAGACTAGTCTCAAACCCAGATGAATGGGTCAAAAGGAATGACGCCTTTCCGTATTCGCAGTGAATGATGATCTCAAAGAAATCGTCTTTGGAAAATGATAGCGTCAGTAGAACCGGTTCCAGTTCAGGAGGAAGCCGCCGACTAGTAGACTTGAAAAAAAAATGAACTGCAGCTTACTGGACTTCTCGTCGTTCCGCCTCTTCCTGGGTGATGTCTTCTTCAACGGAGTAGTCCAGGATTGGTTTGACACCGAACTGTCGTAATCGGTCGAGAACCGGTCGGATCGAGACTTCATCTTCACCGGCAACAAAATGCCCGTAGAACGTGCGCTTCATCATTACCGTGAAGAGTTTCTCGCCCAGAATAGCGTTAGCAAGTTTCATCAGCTGTAACGGAAAAACAAAATTTTTATTATAATTATGAATTAATTGAAAAATTATTTTCATCCATTAACAGGTACGTTTCAGGTATGCACCATAAGATAGGCATGAAGGCACAACGGAAGGACTGATACATTTTATTCGTGGGTGAAAGAGAACAATAAAGCATTTTAAAAATACCATTGAAACCGTCGTGTACTATGGTACAGTCCAGTCTAGGTATAAACCTCTAGCTCCGATTGTAGGGGAAGTATTTCTTAGAATTGCGGCTTCGCCAGCACTGCGAGTATAGTCTATTGTGTCAGACTACTGGCTAGAAGTCTAAAGCGAACTCTACTGTCTTAACACCAAGAGTCCACGTGTTTGAACATAGATATATTCTTTAACGAAAATTTCATATGGTGTTTATAACGAAACGTGAGTCCCAAAACTCGGCAGCGCTTTGGAGTGGGGGTAAATTTCCCCAAGCCCAGGAGTAAAAGAACGTAGGGGAAGGCGCTTATAACAAGCAGACTTATAACCAGACCGGACTGTACAAAGTTTGAACTTCGTTTTGTGTCTCTTAAGACTAAAAATAGAAGGCTTTAGCCAGACATCTCAATTCCAAATTACCTAGGCAAAAGTACTCTACCATTACGTGCAACTTATGTCAAACCGACGTAGTTCATCCCGTCAACCTCTCAACTTCGCTTCCCTCTCGTTTGTTATTATCAATCAGTAGATTCAATATGCGTCTACTATGACGCAACTTTTAGTAACGATTTTCGAAACGGCGACACGTCCTAACGTTACGGAAAAATACTAATGCTTTTTACTCCATTTTCTTCGGTGGGATAATTTTCACTCTGCACTCACGTTCATATTTTTCCTTCAATTTATAAATGGACGATCAATCCTAACGTCAGCCAATATCCACAATCTAAGTGGTACACTGTTTCCTATAATTGAGCCACCGTCCAATCATCTAGTTGAACCACACATATTATACTCTTTCAAAACGTCACGCCTTATCAGAGCAGACAATTCATAGTGTTCCGGTATTATTGTCAAAAGTGACGTCACTGACCGACAGTAACACTTCACAAGTTCATTGCTCACGATCATAGCTCCGGACAATTTTCTTTATTGACTGCTGGGTACCACCAAACAGCAGAATCAAATTTCCGCGTATAATATGTTATATCAGAGCACCTCGAGTGAATTTTAATCGTAGCAAAACACCGTTCCTTTGTACAGCTGAGAGCAAAGAAAAGGTGCTTAAAGATACTATAGTAAATCGATGCTATTACACCACAAAGAAAGAAGGCGATTGCTCGGTCCCACAAGTGAAAAAGCTTATCGGAGGTGCCATCTTCCTGTGACGTTCAAAAGAAAAGAGCCAATCAAAACAATCGTAGAACGAAAGGCCCGAATGTTCAGTAGCTTATAACAAAAAGATGTTACTGAATTTCAAGCAGCCGTGTAACAAAACAGAACAATTGAATGTGCCTCACGGTACGAGAGCAGCTGGCGAGCCGCAAGTATTTTTCCACGCGGTAAAGTCGATTCAAAAATTTCGCAGAGCTATAAAAAAAAGATGTCAACCAGCATCAACCGACGATACCACGCATGCGCGTGACTCGTACTTGACGCAAGACTCGAGCGGCGCTGGGGTATTGGATTATCCGAACAGGCCTTAACACGGGTCAGGCCTCTTACGTCTGAAATAGACCACAGAATACAGTTTGCATCGTCGGCGACCCCGATGTCCCATTAGGAAGTCAAGCAGTCTTTGTCATCGTTTCTCTCTCCAAGGTACGAGACGTCGGAGGTAACTCGTGCGCCAGTTTCCCAGCACTCGCAGCCTCAAATATATAGAACAGTAGAAATATTTTCTAACCGTCATTTATTCTTTGCTCAACGCGCGAACTTTCATAACTCCCTGTATAAGAAAAAAACTTCTTGACAGCAGTGTACATTGCCCAATCAGAGTTCGTTCAATTGTCACAATTTAGCGCCGAGGCCAGTGTACCGAATTACATACATGTGCTCTGTCTATGATGTGCTGGAAATCCGTGTCAGCGTTTTTCTACTGAGGGGTATCAATTTCAAAGAGACCTTTTCGGGCGGATATTTGATGGAATCCAAACAAACCCTTAGCTTCGGATAAGAATATCAATATTTGAAGAGCCTCGATAAACAAGATAAATGAATTGACAAATATTGCCAAATATATATATATATATGTATGTATGTATAATCTGTATGAATGAATTGGGGGATTTTTCAAAATCATTTATACCACATAATATATTATCTAGGTATTTGACAAGGATAACCAGGATAACCAGGATAACGTTGACTCCTATATCAGACGCAGTTCACTTTTCACGCTACCTGTGTTACCCTTTAAACACCTGCTGCGTTTGTTGTATCAGAGATAGTGAAGTTTACGGAAGGCTTGAACGATTTGCTTTTTGTAAATATGTCATCCGATAAGCGCCGCGTTACGGTCTAAGCTGAACAGAAAGACTGACGGTACACAAGATCTTTTCAATATTCACGCGACGACGGTTCCTGGCTAAAAGCAAAAAAATGATCGTAACATGCCGGGGCTGATTAGCGTGATAACTCACTGTTAAATAAGAAAACGTTGTAGTCATCGAATGAGAAATTTCGAGGAGCCACCAAAGTCTATCTCCTACATTGACGCTTTAATCAGTTATTCGTTAATGAAATATTCACAAGTATAATGGAAGAGTATCAACGAAGGAGTGATAAAGGCTTAGGCCAAGGTCATCGTTGTAAAGGGCTGAGGGGAATATACGTTATCGAGTCATTAGGATAAACCGTCATCGACCGTGACAGATAAGCATGTAAACATTGCCGTGATCTGTCAGAAAACACGCTTTCCTTAGGACTTATTAATCTCGTGCAATCATACGTTACACTCATTTGACGGAATCACTGAATATCAGATATGTCAAATCCTGCGACTTAAATCACAAAATTATGGCAGATATTAGCAATGAAAATTACGAGTGATATCATGATGCAGGTTAATCAAATAGATTATTAAAAAGTTGATATCACTACTCAAGGTGCACAGTCAACAGTAAGATACAAGAAGTCAGTGATTAATCCGTCAGACGATCAGGAAGCATGTGAGAAACCGAGTCACGTTGTTCAGGCGAATCCACACGTGATTCCTTTTAATGTTTATGGAATAGTTCGTCTACTCGCCGTCTGTCCACCAGATGGCCATGAGAACTCTCCATTATAGATTCACCTAGAAGCAGTCTCTCCAGTCCAACTCAAGAGGGTTCAGGGTTGACTAACCGATGCGACCCGAGCCAAGATAACTGACCCATATATTTAAAATTCTTGTAGCATCAGAATACGCGAATTTCACTGACGTTAATCAATGATTAGACGATCTATTTCGGTCGATACTATTTTTAATGCGCGTCGTTAACGCTAGATGGCCAGGTGGCGAAACTCGAACTTCGATCAGTGTACGTGTACCTAACGAAGAAGAGCAAACCGGTGTGAGCAAGTAGCGCGTGTAAGAAACGAAGATAGGGGAAGAATATCTGAAAGATGAAGTAAAAGGTCAAAGTCTGCAAAATGATCAGGGTTGATGCGGAAGTCTCTTGTTATCAGCGCATACCGAGTATAGGATCTCCGGGTAAATTCGGATTTGTAGGCAGCGTCTCTAATTTTAAACGGCCGGTGAGAGTGTGCGCTCTGCGCAGCTTTGAGCCGTCGCTCCGGTTATAACCAGTTTAGCAGCGTTGAACTGCTGGCCGCCAATCCTTTGACCGCGTGCGTCTTGCGCAACATTTTAGAGGGCGTCAATCCTCATGCGTCTCGTCAAGGTTATCATTCTAAGTTAGGTATTAGCTCCTATAGTACATACTCCATTGATTTTGTCATCGTCAGAATCCAATATATTCTTTTCTCACGTGATCCGATTGTACCTCGACACCGAGTGCGTGCCATAAATAAAATTCAACCTGTGACCCAGATACTAGAGAAACACGTGGGCGTTTACAAAGTTCTCTTAGAATGCGGCTCATTCGCCAAATTTTGGCTGACGGGATTACTTGAATCTCGCCAAAAACTTTGTAATTATGTCCATTGTTCCATTTATTTGTTAATTCTTAGTTTTTCGTGGATTGGCGGGAAGTTTTGAAAATCATTCGGGTCAAGGTGTTCAGCTATTAGATATATTTGCCAACGTAACACCGTTGCCTATTCGTAACATTCTTCTTTCTGCAAAATATTCCTTGAATTGATCCAGCGGATACTGTTCTACGTTTTTACGCAATTCTGTATACATACAGCTTTTCCCATCATCCACAATTTTTCAACGTGACCCTGCAGTTCATTGTTCCCATGGAGTTACGCGTTTAAAGTGCAAATTCAAGTTCCTATAGTTACGATCAAATATAAAACTCATTCGCTTTTTTCGACGGGTGAGTCAGAATTTTTAAGACTTAATAAACCTAGGGAACAGAGGCTACAGGAAAACCTTTTACATTCGCCGATCATCCGTCGCCACGTTGTCAATTTTTGTCTTATCGAAAGGACGCTGCGGTTTATGTGGCGCTACAAGCGATTTTACATTTCCGTTCATTCAAATCCGTCCGAAGTAGATAGCATCCACGAGCGCACCTTGTCGCCACGTCACTGGACAGCTCATACAAAAATAGAGTAAAAAAAAATATGAAAAGCAAAATGAAAAGCAAAATAAAAAAAAATCGAATAATAAACTTTCCATTTACACAAATTTTGATTTATGAAATCGGATTAGAACCGATTTAGAAAATTTCGATTTTACTGAGTATCTTCGATCTTCTTCTTTGACAATATTCATTACAAACACGAGTATTCAATAATTCGCTTGACACACGACGTCAAATTATCTTGGCATAATCAACAAGGAAAACTAATCGAAAGATCGATTGGGTCTAGAATATCGTTACCTGAGTCATGCATATATCGGTTCTGTTCTTAATGAGAAA